TGGAGTCAAGGAGAAGGATGAACTTATGTAGAATTGTTTTGTACAGGGTCTCCATGAGGAATGAGCACTTCAGAGACGACTATACAATATTTATACCATCTTGTCCCTTACATTTATGATTCTCTGCAACTGTAAACTTGTTTGTTTCTAAATCATTAAATAAACCAAATGAAGACAATATTCAGAACAGAAGACTTAAATTAACCTTTAAATTGTCTTATCTTAAGAGTTTAAAGTCGTCTTTACAGTCTCATCATGTGAATGTGCATGCACTGTGCAATGCAAATGGAAGATAAATTTTATTTTCAATTATTGTTGACTGCTGTTTATATGTGTGGAAGAAGGCTGCACCAATAACTTTTTACTGACTTGATAAAACATTGTTATGTACTAAATAATTTAGGACCAGTGCAGTGCTAGCAATTTCAGTTTCAGCCGAGATTAAATTGTTAAAATACAGGGTCTCACAGATAACATGGGTCTTTGACTCTCAAGAATACAGGGTGTCCCACGAAACATGACAGTATAGTAAATAGTTAAAAACGTCTTCTTCCCTAGTTTGTTAAGTTTTTTTTATACCAAAAGGAATAATAAAAATAATGTTTTAGTTCAATTGATTTCAAAGTTAAATATATTTGAGTAAAATCTTTTTGCAGAGTAGCTTTTCTAAAGATTTAAAATAGTAACATCTTTTTCCTCTAAGAGTAAAACTATTATTTTTTATCTTACTTTAAATAAATCAAGTTTTTTTTACATATCTTTGTAGTTAATGTAAAATGCATGACTATAATGAATTTTACTAACTGGTTTCACAAAATAATAGCGTGGAGTTAATTTTTTTTAATAACTGTTTCGTAAACACTGTATCTTCTATATATATACTTTGCTTGTCTGGCTGTCTGTTTGTATCCAATAAACGTCAAAACGGCTTAACTGATCGGCACAAATTTTGTGTGGGACTTCACAAGACCCCAGGAAAGGTATATGGAGGATCAAAATTTTAAAAATTCGCCTCCAACAAAATTCGATTTTCAATAAAATCTCTGAACTTTTTTGTTATTTTTTCAGAATGTGTACAAAGAGAAAATGTTCACAATTGAAATAGAAGATGGGCGCGAATCGCCCTGAAAGCCTAGTTTAAATATACCGAATTAAACTTGCCTGTCCTCTGTGGATGATAAACCTACCTCGTATTAGTCAAATCAAGTTTTAACCAATTAAGAGTCGAGATCAGATATAGGATTTCAGTTAATCTGTTCCCATAGAGAGAATAAGATTAACTTATCGGTTAAGCTCAGTCATTAACATTTAATATTTTAATTATTATCTCTCAAGAAATGTTGCACCATTTTAGACTGCATTAGACAGATCGGAAATTCAGATTGTTTAAAAAACATTTCAAAATTAATAATGAACAGCTGAATACTGTCCTAAATTTCTATCTATACTGTAAATCTTCAAACATAGTACATATATTGAAACACTTAATCTGGAATATCTAGATGTTAGCAAGATGAGGTGCCAAGTAATCTAAACCTCAGAGGAAACATGAATCCTACATCTATTCATCGTTTACAGGCTAATCTAATAGACTCTGCGCAGTGGAAAAATGTCCCACATTTCATACCTGAGCTGAAAACTTAAGAATTGGATACCTTTCTTCCTGATCACTTAATCTGAACATCTACTGTGGACACTTTTAAACTCTCCTTAATCCGCTTTTTTCATCTTTTGGATATCCCTATGTTGTTCCGACTGATGTCAAATTTTAACATTTCTCATTGGCTATTCGGGTTTTTCCAAACGCCCCATGATTGGTTGAATCTTATAAACATTTTTCTGGGTACAAACTAATGATGAACTGAATCTTGATATTAATAAAAAGATGAAATTATGCATTGTTCTCAAAATCCACAATTACAAAGTTTTCATCCCTTAAGAAGTTGTAGCTGTAATGTTGTTGAAACTTAAGCAGGGCGTCAGTGATTAGGTGATTAGTTGACTAGTTGATTAGTTGATTAGTTGACTAGTTGATTAGTTGACTAGTTGACTAGTTGACTAGTTGATTAGTTGACTAGTTGACTAGTTGATTAGTTGACTAGTTGACTAGTTGATTAGGTGATTAGTTGACTAGTTGATTAGTTGATTAGTTGATTAGTTGACTAGTTGATTAGTTGATTAGTTGACTAGTTGATTAGTTGATTAGTTGACTAGTTGACATTAGTTGACTAGTTGATTAGTTGATTAGTTGATTAGTTGACTAGTTGACTAGTTGACTAGTTGATTAGTTGATTAGTTGACTAGTTGATTAGTTTATTAGTTGACTAGTTGATTAGTTGATTAGTTGACTAGTTGATTGGGTGATTAGTTGATTGATGGTTGATGGCTCCTCTACTCCATAACAATAGTTTCAATAAATGAATTTATTTCAAACCTATAAAATACAGTTTTAGTGGAAATAAATATTAGCATGACATTGTTTGCTATTTAATAAAATAAATATTATAAGAAACTCGGTTGTTTAAGTAAAATTGCTAAGGATTGCAGAGTTATTGTCTGGGTACGGAGGTAGTGTCAGAGAAATTGTTTGGTTTGGTTTGCTCCAAAATAGGAGGAGGGTGGTATAGACGACATTACATGGTATAAAGCGGTGCTGTAGTTCGAGGATGAAAGGATTTCATAGGAGAATAAAGGTGAACACAAATCAAATAACGGGTGACAAAGGGCAGAAGGTTGGATTGATTGAATAAAATGTGATTGATCGATTGACAGGAACGGAAGGTGAGGTTGGGCCTGGTATATATTAAGGTACATTTATAAGTTAACATAAGTATATACAAGAACAAAATATGAAAAGTGCAGGAAATTAATTTGTTATGAATAAGTTTTCATTAAATAATGATAGAGTTCTTAAGAATCAGCGTTTAAAGTAAAGATCTATTTTGAACTGATCTGAGATTAAAATAAAGATTAAAATTGAAATTTTCCGAGTAAGATTAAGCTCATTTTATCATTGGTAATTGATAATGGAAATTATTTTCAGCATTTTGTAAATATGGAGAAGTGGACCAATGGTATAGGAATATTAACGAGTAAAAATATAATTCAAGCACCAGCCCTTGTTGTGTGAATGTGATTTTAAAAACAATCCGAATGATATCTTAAGATCAAATTCCAGCGATAATGAGGGTAAAAACATTTATTCTCATTCAAATAAAGTAAAAATAGAAATTTTGATTTAAGTAAATGGTAATTGTTCAGAACTTAAGATAAATTTAAGAATTGAAATAATTGAAATTGTATTTAGATTTAAATCCTGGGGTTAAATATGATTTTGGTAATAAATTATAAGGAATTTGATGAAATATATTTTCCTTAGAAATTAAGAAATGCAAATTCAGAATGTATTGAATACCCTGACACGGGAATTCAAGTTGAAATCTAATGCTCAATATCGGAGAGTTCAATGTAGATTTCGTCTTTGTTGAAGACATATAAATAAGACAATTTAAAGGTTAATTTAAGTCTTCTGTTCTGAATATTGTCTTCATTTGGTTTATTTAATGATTTAGAAACAAACAAATTTACAGTTGCAGAGAATTATAAATGTAAGGGACAAGATGGTATAAATATTGTATAGTCGTCTCTGAAGTGCTTATTCCTCATGGAGACCCTGTACAAAACAATTCTACATAAGTTCATCCTTCTCCTTGACTCCAAGTAGGACAGGAAGCTAGACCAAGGATAATATAAATTCCCTCTTCTCATTCCAGCAATGATTCTTCCCCTCTATTCTAATTATCTGCTCCATATACCCCTGCTATACTATATACTAGCTACCCCTTATCCTTGAGAATATATATTAATATATTTTTGTTTACATAACTTCCAAACAAACCTATCATGTAAACACCCTAACTTCTTACCTTTCAAGGGAATTTTGACCTACTCAATGTAAATTATATCTTAGTTATACAATGCATGTAAGATATCTTCGTTTTTGAAAATCTTGGTTCTTTTAATTTTCTTCTTTGTCTCTGCTGGCTTTATAAACGGAGGGTCAATTGAAAACACATCCATATAATCAATATACCTTTTTAAACAGTAAAAAAGTTAGATCTTCTTATTATTTCAGTGCATAAAAAATATCCTCAATACCTTGTTTTAGGCTTTAAATAATTTAGACCCATATACTTTTTTCCCATTTTGATTCTTAGATCTAAAAATGCTGAATCTCCAATTTTATGGTAATCCTGAATCTCCTACTTTATTGCATCGTTAGTATGCTGTTTATCTAAACAGCCTAAAAATTGGTCTTCAAGATAATTACATTTGATAAGTTGCAGGTCGTCATTATAATCTTAACCTCTTTGGGTCACGGCCCGTTTGTCATTTAGCCAAGTCTATCTCATTTAAATTGGTTTGTTGTGAAATCAATATGAATTCATGTCAGAAAACTAGTACGGACCTAACACTTTTAAGAATTTTATACTGGTAAACTTAGAAATTTTTTTTTATTTATTTTTTTGTAGAGAAAAAAAATGTTAAAATTTTTTTTAATGGTTTCGATCTTAAATAAGATTTCTAATGCAAGAGAAAAGTTTTTTCTTTTTTATTCATCTCTTCTACAAGTTAAATGTTATTTGTACTGTATGTGTTTTTTTGTTTTGGTTTAGGCCCATGCATGGGTTGAAACCCTAGATCAGTATTGATTCCTTTCACTAGAAGAATCAATAATGCTTTTGGGTTCCTTCTACTGCAAACCCTCCTAATACAGACTTTAGTTTTTTAGAGCGAAACAAACTGCTATGTGCACAAAAGGAACAGTTGCAATAAAAGTGTGAATAAAGAGTGATGAAGGATGCTGATATTGCTCTTATGTTAATGAGTGTATTGAATATAGTGTGGAGCTAAAGTAGTGGAGCCCCCCACCCCCTCCCCTCCATACTTGCTCACAGCTCCGCTTCCCACAATCCTCCATATTCTACTACCAATTCTATTGTACAGTCAGCTGGAGTCAGTGGTAGTAACCAGTTCCTACCATGTGCTGCGGTGATACAAGTCGTGCAGGGCTCTTCTGCTTAAAACTTGTTCTAGCAATAATAAATGTCCTCCTAGGGGTGAGTAGTATTTAATCTATTTGGGGGTCAGAACTGCCCTCAGGAAATATTTTTATTTTATATGAACAAAGTATGAAACATACACATGCTAAATGTTCATTAGTTGGTTCTTTTGTGACTGGGATTACAATGGAATCACTTTTAGTCTTAAGATACATATGGACTGAAAACTTATGTAAAAAAATAATTCTCATAAACAGATACTAGACTGAAAAAGGACAGCTTAGAACGTTCATGCACTCCTCTTTCCACTCAATATTTGAATTCAATCTGGTTCAATAGGTTAAATATAAATTGAAGAAATATGTATGTAAATTTAATTATAAAAATAAACTAAACATATAGAATTATGCAATTTTTATTGTAGAGAAACTATTCTGTATATTTATTTATCAGACATTTATTGAAATGAAATTGTAAAACAGTAAATTTAAAGATTCTCCTGAAAGTAACCAATACAACTTGACGTACACTAAAAAATTAAATTAAAAAATGTTGACAGCAAAAATCAACATACTCTGAGCGATGAATTCAAAACAGCTAATTCGAAACTGTACAATGCTGAAGAATTATGAGATTACAATTATAAATACTTTTTTCTTGAAGCGGTTTGAGCTGTATACTGTACAGTGTGGTCAGTAAGTTCCATTAAACAGCAGCCTAGAAAGACGACATATAGGCAATCTTGTGTGGTTTTGATGTTGCTTTAAAGCAAATCATTTTATTAGTAGCTTAAAGATTAACCTATTGAGTTAGGTTTCCCTGTGTTTACTTTGCTCTGTTGCTGTGCTTCATATTTTTTAGACAATTTAAAATCAAATCCTGAGTGTAATAGTCGTCTTCCTATTCCACAGTTTTATGGGTCTCACTGTAAATGAAATAGAAGTGTAAAATATAAATATAAGATACATGAGGTCTATAAAATAGAGCAATATTTAATGTAAAAAGCTGATTCTAAAATAAAGTAAACAAACCTAAATAGTAAATAGTATTTGAATAGTAGACAATTAGGCATAAATAAGGGAAATTACTGCAGCAACATTATCTACACAACTTTTATGTTACAAGCAATAAATCTATTATATGGTTATATTTATTTACACTGTGGAGTGCGGTTTCAAAACCTTCATGATTTTATATTATTTACAAAACATCACTTTTAGACAGTGTGAAAATATTGATTGAGATTAAAATGGCGTTTTTGAAAAAAAAACTTTTTATACGATGATTTAATTAATTATAAATCCACTAAAAATTGTAAATCTCTTTTTTTTATTATTGCTCTGTACGTTAGTTTTTAATTGATTATGTAATCTTTTCCCATCACCCCCCCCCCCTCTTCCACTCCACCCACTCTAATTGATCACCTCTAAATGTGTTGAATATCCCCCTTTCAGTTCCCCTGCTGCTAGAAAAAAAATCGTATAAGATTACACTGACATTAAGCTACAATTGTCAATTATAATGTTTTTGTTTTAAAAATCCGTTTAAAAAGAAAAATAACATATTCAAATTTCAATTACTTTCAAAAAGACCAGTATCTAATGTAGTTCAGCCCTGCAAAACTTTGGAATAGAAAAAGGACATTTAGGCAATCTTTTGTTTATTTGATGACCGTGAAAATCAGCTTGTCAATTGAAATTTGTGTAAAATGCAGAATTTCTGTGTATCATGTTTTTTGACTGTTTTCATATAGTAAAAACCAGAAAACTGGGGAAAAGAAAGACGACTTTTAGACTCAAGTTGTGATTCTAAATTGTTCAATGGATCAGGAGATATAGTTATATGTGCAGTGTTCAGAAACCATTACACTTTATAATTGATTAAGCTTTTATTGTAAAAATATTTGTTTTGTAACAACATCAAATACACCTTAAATATTGTTTTTTTTGTCGTCTTTTTATTCCATAATTCTCTGGTTCTCACTATAACTTGAGGAAAACAGTCTTTTCATATTTCTTAGTTTATCGGTCTTTTTTAAAAAGAAAACTTTTTTGTTTATTACTTATTGAAGAATAAAAAGCGGGGGTGTTATAGAGGATGCACATATGATTTTTTAATAATAGGCTTCTTGGGTTTAGAACTGGTCGTTAAATATAATTTTAAAAAAATATTATGTATTTAGTACTTTTTACCTTTTTTATCTACATTTTCCTGAAAATTTAAATATTTTGAAATAAATATTGCTTATTTTATTTTGGAATTACATCATAAATTACGGAAGGAATTCCCTTTATACACAGAAGCAGTTTACTCCTCCAACATCCATATACAACAAAACTGGGTTAGACTCACAAAAAATGAAAGTGTTAGACAAATAATTCCTCTTGGTATTTTCAAGAACTGTATTTATGTACTTTGATATAATGCGTTATTTCAACTTTTTATTGCTCTTTTCTTTTAAACTTTTCGCATTAAGCCGAGTAGCTTTTAATGTATACAATTCATAATTTCAACTTGTATATGAAAAAAAATTTTCACAGCAAATCCCCCTACCCACTTAGCCTCTTCATCCCTGCAGTTCCTCATCCGCCCCCCCCCCCCTATTATGGGAGTTTTCCTTTCAATTCCCCCACCCCCCTTCTATGGGGGGAGGGGTTGTTCCCTAACAAGACTCATTTATTCACAAAATGAACTCTTTCACAATTTGATATTTCTTTTTATTTAAAAATTAAGAATACATTTAACATTTTCAAATAGTAAATAAGTGCTAAAAAAATGCTGTATCAAAATCAATAAGATAAAAAATATATTCTCATGGACTTTTACTAAAACTTTAACTATAACAGGATTTTAAAAATATCAAAGGTATTTTTTTCATAATCTTATTTGGATTGATTTTGTTTATCATGTGGACAATTGTGATGTAAAATTAATAATGAATTATTATACATATCTTATGATCTTATATCATATGATCCTTAAATTCAATGATTTTCTGCATGTAAAATTCTTTCTTTCTTTGTCAAATCATATATAAACCAATAAAATACTAAAGACATTCACCCTTGGGATCCTCTTATTTTAATAGTTTCAGGTTGTTATTACAGTCTTATGTTTTGTGATGTAACTCTGTTCAATCTTTTCTTTAGATTTATATCTTCTATACTCCTTCTCCCCCCGGCCCCCCTCCCTCCAGTTTGTATGCACCCATAGCATTAATGTAATCCAACGCTTTATCAATATGATAAAACAAAAAAAGTAACCAGGAATAGACAGACTTAATTCACTTCTTCTAAAATGTTAAATTAATTGTAGACATTGTAGACATTTTCTATACTTTGCCTGTCTGTTTGTTTGTATCCAATAAACGTCAAAACAGCTGAATCGATCGGGCCCAAATTTTTTGTTGGACCTCACGTGGCCCCAGGGAAGGTTTATGAATGATCAAAATTCGATCTTCATTATATTTTTGAAAATTTTGAAAATCCACGAATTGTTTTGCTAAAATTTTTTTGTGTTTTGTTTTACGATGTCACAAAGAGAACATGTTCACAATTGAAATAGAAGATGGGCGCGAAGCGCCCTAAAAGCCTAGTATATACATACTTTGCCTGTGTCTGTTTGTTTGTGTACAATAAATGTCAAAACGGCTGAACCGATCGGGCCCAAATTTTTAGGCGGACCTCACATGACCCCACGGTAGGTTTATGGAGGATTAAGATTTCAAAAATTCGCTTCCAACAAAACTCGATTGTCATAAAATTTTGAGAAATCCACGAAATTATTTTTTATAAAATCTGCGAACTTTTGTTTTTGTTTAACAATGAATACAAAGGGAAAATGTTCACAATTGAAAAATAAGATGGGCATGAAGCGGTCTTAAAGCCTAGTATGATTTATGTTTTTAAAGGGATTAGGATTAGGGATTAGGGACTTTTCCTTATTTAAATTTCTTGGTTACGTTCCTCTTTAAATTAAGTTGTTCAATCTTGAAATCCTGATATCAAAGGGACTGCATTGTATGCGCCATTCCAAGTGACTCTATGCAAAGAGGGCAATGCCCGATTTACAATATTTAAAATATTTGAGTATTTGTCGAGTAAAGATATATACGTGTGTAAACTTATCGAAACCCGCTTGTATTTAGAAGCAAATTCCTTACTCGTTACAAACTCTGATCTACTAATCATTTAATCTTTGCAACCTGATCTCCGGCTTAGATCTTTAATATTTTAAGCAAAAGTCATAGTTTGAAATTTCGTCAGGTTACAAAGATTAGAAAATTTACGTTTGAAGCGAGTTTCTTTTGGATAAAAATAAATGTGATCTAAACATTGTTTGTTTTGCATGTTCAGTTTATAAATAGTAAATACATTACAAAACCAGTAAGTTTATCTTCTAATTATATTATTTGATACTAAGTTCCATTTTGCCCCCCCCCCCCATCCTCCCTTTACCTCCCCTCCCTCAGTATTTATTGAATACTTACTCCTCTCCTACTCTGTATTCTATGCTGACTGATAATGTATAAGATATAGAAGATATCCATCTGATCATATAAAGAATAGAAACGAAGAAAAATTAGTCTCTGTTAGAGAGCACAGCTTTCAAGACTATCTAGAGAATTGTGCTGGTCGAGATACAGAATACAGATAGCTAGAAACGAAAAGGTTTAGCATTTTTCTAGTCTCATAAGTTCCTTTACATTGAAAGTCGATCTTAAGATTAAAACTTTTTCCATGAAAATAAGAAGAAACATGACTGAAATTTAAATATTAAGAAATTTATGTGTGTGCCTTACACAAAATACATTTTAACAAAATTAAAGAAAAATCTAGACTAAAGAACAACAAAAAGCTCAAAGATCGGAACAGTAAGCTCGAAGCTTTAAGTTTGGACCTTGAACCACGAAACTTTCAGCTTGAAGCTTGAACCTCGAAGCTTGAACCTTGAACCTCGAAGCTTGAACCTTGAATCTTGAAACTTGCCGTTTGCAGTTTGAATCTTGACGCTTGAAACCGTGTAACTTTTAGTTAGAAGCTTGAACCTTGAACATAGAAGCTTTAAACGTGCAGCTTAAAGCTTTAACCTTCATTTATATGCTTAAAGGGACCGGAAAGAAAAAATGAAAGGGGGTATAGGCTGAAAGCTAATCACTTTAGCTCTTGATCGCGACCCATGAAACTTTTATCTGATGTTCCTGTCTCGAGAAATTGATTTAAAACTGTGTTGAAATTATACGAAAGTTTATATATGTAAAATTTAGCAAATCTTAAACTTAAATCACTTGACCAGAACTATCACCAATGACAGAGCAGTATACTGATCACGTGTCTCCACCTGCATCACGTGACCACTTTACTGCACTGCCATTGTTGGAACTTCTGGTCAAGTAATACGGAAGTATAAATAATATTATGAATTAAATCTATTAAAAATAGCAATAACAAATATAAAATTATAATTGGAGTAAACCTAAGTTACAATTAGCTTTCTCTGGGATATCACAGTTTTCAGATTGGTTGCATATTTGCTTAATTTGATCTATTTAAACCCACTACTTTTATAAAAAATTGTATAAATATTAATTTTCGGTTAAATTTGATACAGTTATATATCAATTTCTCGAGATAGGAACATCAGATATAACTTTCATGGGTCGCGATCGAGAGCTAAATTGATTAGCTTTCAGCCTATACCCCCTTTCATTTTTCCTTTACAGTCCCTTTAAACCTTAAAGCTTGAAACTAGAAGCTTGAACCTTAAACCTTGAAACGTGCAGCTGGAAGCTTGAACCTTGAACTTTGAACCTTAAAACTTGAACCTTAAAATTTGACCCTTGAACCTTGAACCTCTAAGCTTGAAGCTTGAGCCTCTACGCTTGAACCTTGAAACTTGCAGCTTAAACCTGGAAGATTGAAAATCGTAGCTTGAAGCTAGAAGTTTGAAGCTTAGTTTAAATCTTACAGTTTATAACTTGCAGCTTGAACCCTAAACCTTGCAGCTTAAAGCTCAATTTGAAGTTCAAAGCTTATATTTCGCAGCTAGAAGCTGAAAGTTTGAAGTTCCAAGCTTGAATTTCGCAGCTTGAAGCTAAAAATTTGACGCTCGAAGCTTGAATTTTGCAGCTTGAAGCTCAAACTTTAAAGCTCGAAGCTTGAAGTTCAAACTTTGAAGTTCGAAGCTTGTATTTCGCCGTTTGAAGTTCAAAGCTTGAATTTCGCAGCTTGAAGCACAAAGTTTGAAGTTCGAAGCTCGTATTTCGCATATTGAAGCTCGGAGTTTAAAGTGCATTGAATTAAACTCAATTGTATAGAAAGGTATCTTGTACAAGAGAACAGAACTCTCCAGTTTCTTGTAATAAATTCTGGAGTAGTTGTATATAGTTCAGCGATCTTTATTATCCGTGTTTGATTGACCCTGACCGGCTAGACCGGTCAACCTATATTTACCTGTATCAATAAATTAGTATCGAATCAACCGTTGTTTTAGATAGACGGGTACAGCCAGGATTGAATAGTCAGGATTGACTGAATAATTAGAGTTAGAGACAAGTATTGAGATCACTCTCGGGACCTAGATTGTTACATTCATTTGAAATTATAATCTTATTCTTTGTTGCATTCTTTAGCCAGTTACCTTTACCTTTCTCTTCTTATTTCTCCATTTTCACCTTTTCTTCATTCTTCTTTGTCTTTCCTTTTTCTTCTTTCTTTTCATCTTCTTTGTCTTTCCTTTTCTCCTTTCTTTTCATCTTCTTTGTCTTTCCTTTTTCTTCTTTCTTTTCATTCTTTCCTACTTTTTCTTTCTTGGTGTTTTCCAACATCCTATTTTTTTCTACTTTTTTAACAATTCAAATTGTAGTTTGCTTTTTTTTATGATTTTATTATATTTGATTAAATTTTTATCATTACTAAATTTTTAAAATTATTTAATTTTTATTATCATTAAATCTTTAATATTGTTAAGTTTTTTAGTAATTTGTTAAAGAATTTGTTAATATTTTTGTCATTTCAACAGAAAAAAAAGAAGGTTTACTATATTTTGCATATAAGTCCTAAAACTGCACTTTGTTATAAAATAGGCATTTAAGATACAAAACGCTTTCTATACGTCGTCTCTCTGTATACCATATTTCTGCAAGACACCCTACTTTTATACTTCTCGGATCCCAACCCTACCCTCTTTTACTTACCCGCCCTAGCTGACAGGAAAATCCGCAGTGTATAACCATATCATGAATAGCAAAATATTTGGACAGTTTAAATACTTAATCAGGGAATATTTTAAATCTTTAATTCTTTATATTATTTTTCTATGAAGAGAGTTTTTTGCTGTATTTTGCATAAATCAATCTATGTACTTATAATGTTATATATACATATATATAAAGCTGAAGTATACTATTTCTAATCCTTCTTTTACCTTTATAGATTAGACTTTATTCAAGAATATCGTATAAAAGAATTCTTTAAGCTTCTCCCCCCCCCCCCCCCAACAGCTCGGCTTGTACTTCCTTTTATTTACAATATATTTAGTTTTCAAGTACAGTAAGCCCCAACAAATGTGGGGTTTATTCGAAGACTTTGACTTGTCTTATTACACGGCATTTATTCCGAAAAATATTTCCCAACAAAATATTCCGTCTCAAATTGTTTTTTTGATGTGCTAAGATTGAAAAACAAAATAAGGGTATGCGTGAAACCTTAATTTAAAAATGATAATAAGCATTTTCATGATATCAGACGTTATTATTAGAAAGGAATTAAGTCTTTGCCACACACTCCGATTTTCCAATCCCCAATATCCTTGTAAATTAATTTAGATATTTCGAACTATAGGAATTCTGTTGGATCCAATAATTTAAGTTTGGAATATCAAAGGTTTGCACAATCAGGTTGCAAATTTATAGGGATTAGAAAATATGAGTTGGTGGCAAAAACTCAATTTCTTTCTTGAGACTTCCACTTTCTTACAATATATAATTACAGGTGTACAGTTTACTACTGGTTGGTACATGGGTCTGGTCTGCTATATGGCTGGAGCTGTACATGTCCTTGGGGGAGGAGGTACGTACGGTACATACAGGGTTAACCCACAACGGATAAGAATGTAAAGACGACTTGAAAATATAGACCTTTTTAATGATTTTGCAAAAAAAGAAACAAGTTTATAGTTGTAGGGAATCATGAATGAAAGGAAACAGAGAGTATAAATTCAGTACAGTCGTCTCTGAAGTCTCATCCTTTGTGGGTAACCCTGTATCTCGTTTTAAAGGAATAGTTTCAGTTTTTCAAGATACAGAACTAGTAGCAAAAAAGAATAATTACTTATAATATCTGTCTATTTAAATATTTGAAATTTCCATTGCAGATATGGTTGCCAGAAACATGATTGATAAAAACATATTTAATAGAAAAATAGAAAATAAATGTCATCCAGCGACATTTTTTTTAATACATTTAACAACTTCCGGACATTGGTGTTAATTGGGACAAAAATAGCAATTCTATTAATTTGTTTTTAGCTCCAATGTTTCAAGCAATTCTATCTGAAGCAACATCCAATGAACGAAAGACAACATTTGCTTTGAAGTACAAAGTGGTATTTCTAGAAAAACAAACATTTGGAATATTTAATCTATATGTTTGTCGACGGAAAAATAAAAAAAAATTAAAAGAAGATTTTTTTCCTTGGAGCTTGTTTTGCCATTAACTCAAATTTTCTAATGTCTTTAAACCTGACTGTGTAAACCTTTGATCTTTTAAACTTAGATTAATTGATCTAACATAATTCATAGTTTAAAATATCAATGGATTGGATTGCAAAGATAAAGGGATTGAAAAATCAGAGTTTATGACAAGAACTGAATTATTTTATCTGACTAGGTGAGTGTTCTTGTTCCATCTCTTCTTCTCTCCTTATCCCTCTCCACCCTTCTTCTCTCTTCTGTTCTCTGCTGCTGTCTACCCAGACAAACTAAACCTATCCTTCTTTACTCGGTAATTCATTTTGGGATGCTATGAAAACTGACCTAGAGGAAACCAACCTAATGTGTATCCGACCTATTAATCGAGCAGTTTTCGGAGAAAATATCGAGTAGATACAATACAAGTTTTGTTGGAAAATATTTTGTCAGAAAACGCTTTGGTCAGTTTCCTTTAGGTCGGATGAATGACCACCTATTTTACTCTTTTTGTTATTTTCATTTCTAAATTATGCGCATTTCCCCCCCCCCCCCCCCCCCCCCCCTCTTTTTTTTTTTTTTTTTTTTTTTTTTTTTTTTTTATATTATTGCCTTTTCCCCCCCCCCCCCCCCTCCTTCAGTATGTATTGATCTATCAATTGCTCTTGTTTTTAATTAAAAAACTTCAGCATAGTTGCGTGTGGGGAATTTCATGTGTTTTTTCAAAAGTATTTTTGTACTTTCTGCATTGTTCTTATAAAGTGCAAAACATTGCAAAAAAATTTCTTCATCAGTTTGGTCGGTTTGTCAGTTAAATTCGTAAAAAGAAAGAGCGCCTTAATCTAGCTCTCTGTTTCCCATATATCTTATTTTCTCTCGTTGTGTATAAAAATGTAAAATATCCCCCCACACTGCCGAGTTATGATTGAAAACATTAAATAGCCACCAAACGACTATGTTAGGGTTCTGTGAGGGAAGAAGGAGACTTAAATTGTCTTTTCAACTGTAATAAACCCTCTCTATAATATTCTAACAGTTTCCTCTTGCTCTAAACTATTGATTAATTTTTGTTCAATTCTGTTTTTTTTAAATTTGGAAACCTTTTATAAATTATTTTTGGTACCTTTCTTATTGCAAAATATCTGTTAAACCAGTATAGAAGAGAATATGTCTATGTCTGTATGTATACTCCGGAAACTAGTATAGAACAGAATATGTCTATGTCTGTAAGTATACTCCGAAATCTAGTATAGAAGAGAATATGTCTATGTCTGTAAGTATGTTCCGAAATCTAGTATAGAAGAGAATATGTCTATGTCTGTATGTATACTCCGGAAACTAGTATAGAAGAGAATATGTCTATGTATGTATGTATACTCCGGAAACTAATATAGAAGAGAATATGTCTATGTCTGTATGTATACTCCGGAAACTAATATAGAAGAGAGTATGTCTATGTATGTATGTATACTCCAGAATCTAGTATAGAAGAGAATATGTCTATGTCTGTAAGTATATTCCGGAAACTAATATAGAAGAGAATATGTCTATGTATGTATATGTATACTCCGGAAAACTCTCCAGATGAGATGAGATAAACTTGACTCAGGGCATTGTTCTCTTATCTCAGGTTACAAAAGAGCAACGTATGGATTTACTCCGGGTATACTTTAAAGTAGGACGGGAGTATTGGTTTACTCCGGGTATACTTTATAGTAGGAAGGGAGTAAACCAAACTATGTAGATGGAGGGAGTATTGGTTTACACTGGGTATACCGTAAACCAAACTATGTAGATGGAGGGAGTATTGGTTTACTCCGGGTATACCGTAAACCAAACTATAGGAAGATGGAGGGAGTATTGGTCTACTCCGGGTATACTGTAAACCAAACTATAGGAAGATGGAGGGAGTATTTGTTACTCCTGGTATACTGTAAACCAAACTATGTAGATGGAGGTAGTATTAGTCTACTCCGGGTATATCGTAAACCAAACTATAGGAAGATGGAGGGAGTATTGGTTTACTCCGGGTATACTGTAAACCAAACTATAGGAAGATGGAGGGAGTATTGGTTTACTCCGGGTATACTGTAAACCAAACTATAGGAAGATGGGTGGAGTATTGGTTTACTCCGGGTATACCGTGAACCAAACTATAGGAAGATGTAGGGATATTTGTTAACTCCGGGTATACTGTAAACCAAACTATAGGAAAATGGAGGGAGTATTTTTGTTATGTCCTAGTAAAGTTTAGTTTAGGTTTACTCATGGTATATCTCCGAGGAGGGTGGGGTATCGATTTACTCCGGGTATACTTTAAAGTAAGACTAGAGGAGGTGTTAGTTTTCTCTGGATATACTTAAGAATAAAGGTAAAGGCGGAGTATAGACAGACATGGGTTTAATCCAGGAATTCCTAAAGTGGAGTGAAGGGTGAGTATAAAAGGACAATATCTGGTTCAGGGGATTCTACTAAATCCTTGATCTTGAGAGATTGTAATGAAAATCTAGAGAATTGTAACATAACCATTCTTTGAAGAGATTGGTCTTTATCGTGCTCTAGAAATAAGTGTGCTCTTTACCTTCAATTTCTTGTAAAACCAGGGTTTCCCTGGAACTAAGCTTTATACCAGTATAAAGCTTCCGAATAAGCTTCATGTATAAAATGAAGCTGTGTGTTGCCTGCTTCAAGCTTACAATTAGGTTTTGGAGAAAATAGGCAATTTAGTTTATCTCTTGCCGGGGTTTATAACCCTGACATGGATAAAAACTGCGACACCAAGAACCAACAACAACAATACACTCAAACCTTCCTCTAACCTCTCCTCTCTCAGATCAATACTTTTAGGAACCTGAGATATACTGATTCCAGTAGATTAGGAACCATGAGATGGATTGGTTCCAGTAGATTAGAAACCTGGAGATAGACTGGTTCCAGTATATTAGGAACCTAGAGATATGCTGGTTCCAGTAGATTAGAAACCTGGAGATGAATTGGTTCCAGTAGATTAGGAACCTGGAGATAGACTGGTTCCAGAAGAATAGGAACCTGGAGATGGACTGGTTCCAGTAGATTAGAAATCTGGAGATGGACTGGTTCCAGTAGATTAGGAACTTGGAGATGTATTGGTTCCAGCAGATTAAAACCTACTGACTAGATTATTGAATATTAATTATGAATTCTATATTTTAGTATTCAGTACGGATCATTCTTGTCTGGTTCAACTTGTATCTATATTTTAGTCTTCAGTCCTGATCAGTCTGGTTTATCTGGTTCAACTTGTATCTGCACTTTAGTATTCAGTCCTGATCAGTCTGGTTTATCTGGTTCAACTTGTATCTGTATTTTAGTATTCAGTCCTGATCAGTCTGGTTTATCTGGTTCAACTTGTATCTGTTATTCTTCTCTACGTGTTCAGGTAATTATTAATATTATTTACAAGGTGCAATTTTGATTCTGATTTAACAAAGGAATTGAGTTTTTGCCGCAAAGGAATTGAGTCTTTGTAACAAACTCTGATTTTCTAATACCTATTTTTTTCACCTGAGGGTGTAAACCTTTGATATTTAAAACTTAGATTTTTTTTATCTAACAGAATTTATTGTTTGAAATATCTAAGGTCTACGGCATTGGGTTACAAAGATTTAGAGATTAGAAAATCATAGTTTGTGACAAAAACTCAATTCCTTTAGATTTTTAAATCTCTATACCTGAAGGTTTACGACGTTGGTTTACAAAGAGGTATTAGAAATCAGAAGTTGTGGCAAAATCTCAATTTCATAACCGTGATATATTGGTATTTACAGAGCTCCAGGTCTTGATTAAAGTGTCATCTTTTGCGGCTAATTCTGTAAATTCAAATTAATCCAGTTTATAAACCTATTCGTTTTTAAGCATAAAGTGTTGAGGGAATTTTAAGCGTCTCCTCAAAAATCTGAATACTTTCATGTTATAAAAATTAGTTTTTAATGTTTGCTGTTAATTGCAATGCTAAATATTGGCTCCGGCAGAAAATATGAGGATTTAATCATTCGTTTTTCGTTTTTTGGAAAATTACAAAATTGGCATAATTTTAACGAGCAAACTGTTCGAGCACAATATTTAATTTTATGTAAAGTACCTTACAGACTCCGTGAAAACCAAGAACGCTTTGATGATGTTAAACAAACTCAAAATCCATGCCCAATTCTTCTCAATGGAACTAAGTTTTTTTGCCACAAACTAAAATTTTCTAATTTCTATATCTTTACCACCTGATGGCGTAAACCTTTAATATTTCAAACTTAGTTTATTTGATCTAACAGAATTTATAGTTTGAGATGTTTAATGTCTACGACATCGGGTTGCAAAGGCAAAGATAGGGATTTCAAAATGAACATAACATAATGAATATGTTGAAATATCAAAGGTCTAAAACTACAAGGATTAGAAAACTTATGTTTGAAGCAAGAGTTCAGTTCCTTGTTGAATCCCACAAGAGAATCCTGACACTCGAACGAAGAACTCTTAGTTTGTGATCCTTGAAACAACTTCTCCTCAATTTTTGTCTCAAACGTCTACTTTTTGTAATAGGTAGTTTAACTTAATAAAGCTGGTTAAACTACTTATCCTGTTCCTATGCATGTTCAAACTGATTCAAAGGAATTGAGTCTTTGCCACAAGCTCTTTTTTTCAAATCCTAAATTTTTGCAACCCAATGTCTTATACCTTAGAGGTTTCAAACTGTGAATTCTGTTAGATCAAGTAATTTAAGTTTGAATATCAAAGGTTTACACATTCAGGTTGAAAACATATAAAGATAGGAAAATTTGAGTTTGTGGCAATGATTCAATTTCTTTTGGGTCACATATAAATGCGACTGTATAATTAAAACATTTATCCTAGAAATTCACGTAAATCCCGTCCTTAGTGTAAAACCTAAAAAAATGGGATTGAAAATTTTAATACAATTTTTTTAAAATTTATATACTCACTTTTCCTAACTTTTAATATGATTTAACCAAAGCAGAAATCTTGACTAGTATCATTATTGTTTAGGTTGTTAGATTTTAAAATCTTAATTTAATATCTGCGAATTATGTCTATAGCAAATAACTTCCAGAGCTAAACCCAGTAGTTGAAGCAGTCGTATCTATGGCAGCTACTTCTCTAACTCTGTACAATACTATCTTAACGCTGTTATTTTCAATATTTATGATTGAAAATTCAAAAAAACAAATGATCAAAAAATAGTCTTAATTGGCATTGTTACATTCCACATTCCACAATAAATCAACTTCTGGGGTAATTACTATTTATAAAAAATTCACAGATAATAATATTTACAGATAATAATATTTACAGATAATAATATTTACAGATGATAATATTTACAGATAATAATATTTACAGATAATAATATAAAAAATATACAATTCTTTTTGCGGGAATAATATGATGAATATTAAGCTGAACAAAACTGTTTCAGATAAACCCTCAAAAAATGAGACTTCAATAAAAACCTTAATTATAAGATCGGGAAAACGAACGTTAAAATAGATCTTGTAGCATTTATTAAACTTAGTTTCATAAAACTTATGATTTGGGAAAGAAATGATCAAATTTTCACCTTAATGTAAAAGTTTATGACTGACAGAATTCTGTACAGTCGCCTCTGAAGTCTCATGTACTTGGTACATGGAACCCCTGTAGACCTATAGTATTTTGATGTCTTAATAACTTTTAAGATTTTTAACCTAAATTCAAACCATGAAGAAAATATTATTGAACACCCCTTGATAAAAACGCTCAAAGTTATATGCTACATCATAAAATTCACAAGAAAACAAGACCTTCCCAAGTTTTTTTTTTGGCATTATCATTTAATTTGGCAGGGGGGGGGCGGGGTTCTACATCTTTATCGTGAATAAATCTAACATGTTCTGTCTCGATATAATTTATTAAAACCCTTAAATAAGTAAATTTAGCCTTACGAGAATAGTATCACGACATCTTTACAGATTTAATAAGACTAGGCTTTCCATCTTCTATTTCCATTGTGAACATTGTAAAACAAAAACTAAACAAAAAATTTGAGGATTTTATGGAAAAAATTTAGGATTTTCAAAATTTAATGAAAATTGAAAATTTTTTGGAGACTATTTTTGAAATTTTGATCATCCATTAAAATTATGTCATGTGAGGTCCACACAAAATTTTGGCCTGATCGGTTCAGCCTTTTTGGCGTTTATCGGATACAAACAAACAAACAGACAACCAGATAAGCCCCGTATATATATATATATATATATATATGATGAATTTTATTAGGAGAAAGTTTAGTGAATCCCTGGCTGAGGGTATATCTACGTCTATGTCTGCTTATGGAAAAATACCAGATCGAACTCAGGTAGATTTTACAGATTTGGTAAAATATCAGATTTACACGTATGGAAAAATACCAGACTTTAAACTTATTTTGTAAAATACCAGATCGAACGAAGGTAGATTTTACAGTTTTCCGGGAAAAATGTCTCGTTTTGATGAGAAATCTATAAACACCTCTTTGATCCTTTGCTATACAGTAGATACGCCATTTTCTTTTATGTTAAATGAAAATAGGAGAAGATATTAGGGCTTAAGTCGGGCTAGGTACATGTGCTAAAAGGAACTTTTTTCTTATGCTGACTTTAATGTGATAAACAATTGATCACTCAGAAATATATTCAATTGTTAAAATATATGAACTTAAATGTACGATAAACTATGCATGTTACCTAATGATTCAAAAAGAAGAGAATCATTGAGTTAATGTATTTAAAGTGACCACATTCACCCTTTACCAGCGTTTCTACGCATCTACGGTATTCGTTATTCTAATAAACATGAGAATCTTAAGACAACTTTAAGACCGTTTTCGACATTTGACAACTAATCAGTCACTTAAAATCACGAAAACCATCCCTTCAAAGTTTGATACATCGTTTTATTTCAAACCCTCTCTTGAAATTTTGTTTCATAATCAACCCTCTCTTGAAGTTTTGTTTCATAATCAACCCTCTCTTGAAGTTTTGTTTTATGATCAACAATCTCTTAAAGCTCTATTTCATAATCAATTCTCTCTTGAAGCTTTGTTTCATAATCAACCCTCTCTTGAAGTTTTGTTTCATAATCAACCCTCTCTTGAAGTTTTGTTTCATAATCAACAATCTCTTGAAGCTTTGTTTCATAATCAACCCTCTCTTGAAGTTTTGTTTCATAATCAACCCTCTCTTGAAGTTTTATTTCAGAATCAACCCTCTCTTGAAGTTTTGTTTCATAATCAACCCTCTCTTGAAGTTTTGTGGATTTTTGTATTCTTTTAGATCTGTTTTATATTTAAATATGATATTATAATGAAACTGAGCTGGTAATTATTGTGTTGAATTCAAATCGTTTGATCTCGATATCCACTGTGTCCACTATAAACTTTAACTTTACGATCACCATCGAATAAAGATTGAATTAATTAAGATAGAGATTAAACATTGATTTCGATATCCACAATACAAGAGTTCCCAGCTCTGAGTCTAAAACTAAAGAACGAAAAGTTTTGACTTAAATTTTAAGTTCACGGTTAAATGCCACTTCTGACTTAATTTAAACCTGAACTTTAACCGTGAGGTTAAATATTTAACCCTGTGGTTAAATATTTAACTCGCCGAAATCGACGAGTTAAAATTTAAACACAGGTTTAAAATCTTGAAATTCTGCATTTTCCCTATTTGTCTATTATTCAATCATCATTCAGCTGCAGCTGAGAAAGCGGCATTCAACTTAACGATATATTTAAAAGTGAAAACCTTGTTAAAGAAATTTCACGCTTTAGATAAATTAATTTTTGGATGTAAACCCAAAAAACGGTTGTATGTTTTGTTTTCGGTTACGTAAGAACAGCGGATTAGCGATGGTTACGTAATATTCTCCGTAAATCCTTTTCTCTGATTGGTTCAGATTTTCCCGGGAAATTCAAATTTAAAATTGAGAAAGTTTAATATTTAAGTAGCTATTCATTATTTTACAGAACTTTTAACCTCGAACTTAAAATTCGCGCATTCTTTAGTTTTAGACTCTGTTTGATTAGAATTAAAAATTGAAATGAGAAGAAACAGAGAAAGCAGAAACCATTTCTTGGTTCAGTAATTTCTTTTAAACAGAAATTATTTATAAAACGAGACATTATGCTTTTATTCATTCTTTTATTCTTGTATTCATTCTTGTATTCATTCTTGTATTCATTCTTGTATTCACACTTTTATTTATCCTTGTATTCATTCTTGTATTCACAATTTAATTTCATGTTTATTTTAGTAATTCTTTTTATGTTTCCAACTGTTATTAATTTTCAATTTTCAATGAAATGTCCATTATTTAAAATGTCCTGCCTATGAAACATCGTATCCAGGACACTTTTACCTTCATTATGGGGTAGAAATCATTTGGTGTACTATCCAGTGTTTGTATTTAAACAACTGTACACAACTTGCTCTATCTGTCCTGTGTCGATCTTTCAAATGAATATGTTTCAAATGTCATATCTACAAGTTGCCCGTCCTTTGAAATGTCCCGTCTATGAACCTATCTATGAAATGTTTATCTTTTAAATATCCTGTCTAAAAAATGTCTGTCCTTTAAAATGTCGTATCTATGAAATGTCTATATATGAAATGTATATCTATGAGATGTCTATGTATGAAATGTCTATCTATTAAATATCTATCTATGAAATGTCTATCTTTGAAATGTGTATTTATTAAATTTCTATCTATGGAATGTCTATCTATTAAATATCTGTCTATGAAATGTCTATCTATGAAATGTCTATCAATGAAATGTCTATCTATGAAATGGATATCTCTGAAATGTCTATCTATGAAATGTCTATCTATGTAATGTCTATCTCTGAAATGTCTATCTATGAAATGGATATTTCTGAAATGGATATCTATTAAATATCTGTCTATGAAATGTCTATTTATGAAATGTCTATCTATGTAATGTCTATCTATGTAATGTCTATCTCTGAAATGTCAATCTATGAAATGTCTATCTATGTAATGTCTATCTCTGAAATGTCTATCTATTAAATATCTGTCTATGAAATGTTTATCTATGAAATGTTTATCTCTGAAATGTCTATCTATGAAATGTCTATTTATGAAATGTCTATCTATGAAATGGATATCTCTGAAATGTCTATCCATGAAATGTCTATCTATGTAATGTCTATCTATGTAATGTCTATCTCTGAAATGTCTATCTATGAAATGTTTATCTATGTAATGTTTATCTATGAAATGTTTATCTATGAAATGTTTATCTCTGAAATGTCTATCTATGTAATGTCTATCTATGTAATGTCTATCTATGTAATGTCTATCTATGTAATGTCTATCTCTGAAATGTCTATCTATAAAATATATATCTATTAAATTTCCATCTATGAAATATATATATATCTATCTAGGCAGTTGATCTGTTACAGTCTAGAGTAGGTTGCTGTGGAAGCTATGAACCCAAGGACTGGACTCAAACCCATTGGGGTAAAGGACATCAGGTTAGAAATATTTATCATTCGTACATATATGTACTAACTTCAAGTAAAGGACACCAGGTTAGAAATATTTTACATTCGTACATTTATGTACTAACTTCAAGTAAAACTATAACAAAGTGCATCCCAAGGATGTAAGGCAAGGAAAGTCATTTCAGAAGTGTACACATCTTTAGTACTGCAGTGTACTGTCTCTGGGCGCTAATGTAAACACAAGACGGATGTCGAAGCCTGACATGGGATCCATCATTCACATAAAAAATCAATGAAATATTCTGGTCATAGGAAACTATTATGTGAATTATCAAAATTATCAAAATTTAATGCTTTTAACCTCCTCGGATACTAAACGAACATTGATGCATCTATTATTGTTTACAAATTCCGCCCAGAGAGAACTGGTTTGTACACAGAGTATACACAACCGCAATTGACTTTCCTTGCCTTACATTCTTGGTGCATCCTAACTGTATCCATATATTTTCAGTCATATTTTAATCTCTAATTTTGAATTCGTCAAAACAGTGAAAAAAAACCTAATACTAGTTTGAGATTTTCATGAACGAACTTGTACACAAATCAGTGAACCGGTATCTTTTAGAGAAAGTTCATCTTCATTTTAAAAATAGAAAAAGCTATAAGATCAGTATTCGAAAGAGGGGCGCAAAGCTTCTTCAGAGGATTACATAAGTTGGCTTTTTCTTTGAGTTTAGTTACATTGAACACTGTACAGTGCAATAAAGTTATTGAAAAGTTTGTTTAATAAACCAGTAAATACATCTTGGTTGTAGTTGATATTTCATGCCAGTTGGTGGCAATATTTCATGCCAGTTGGTGGCAATATTTCCTGCTAAATGATGTTAATATTTACTGCCAAATGGTGTCAATATTTCCTGCCTGCAGTTTTCGTCTTTATTTCATGCCAGTTGGTGTTAATATTTCTTGCCAGTTGGTGTCTATATTTCATGTCAGTTGGTGTTGATATTTCTTGCCAGTTGGTGTCTATGTTTCCTGTCAGTTGGTGTCTATATTTCCTGCCAGTTGCTGTCTATATTTTCTGCCAGGTGGTGTTAATATTTCCTTCCAGTTGGTTTCTATATTTCCTACCAGTTGATGTTAGTATTTTCTGCCAGTTGGTGTCTATATTTTTTGCCAGTGGTATTAATATTTCCTGCCAGTTTATGTAAATACTGCCTGTCAGTTGGCGTCAATATTTCCTGCTAGTTGATGTCAATATTTCCTGCGAGTTGGTGTCAATATTTCCTGCCATTTTGTGTCAATATGTCTTGCCAGGTGGTGTTAATATTTCCTGTCAGTTGGTGTAAATATTTCCTGCCTGCAATTGGTGTTAATGTTTCCTGTCAGACGGTGTTAATATTTCATGCCAGTTAATGTTAATATTTCCTGTCATTTGGTGTCTATATTTTCTGCCAGTTTGTGTCAATATTTCCTGCCAGTTGGTTTCAATAGTTCCTGCCAGTTAGCATTCATTTTATTTTATACGTTAAAAATGAAAGCTAAAAATAAATGTTAAAAATCGCAAGATGATGAAAAATATTCTCAAGTTAACAAGTTTCTGTAAATGATTAACTGAAGAAATTTCATTTATTAGCAAATAGAACTATTAACTGAAAGTTATCATTTTCATTTAATACTTTAATTTTAAGAGATTTGATTTTTGAGGGAATGGAATTGAGTCTTTGCCACAAACTCAAGTTTTCTAATCCCTAAATCTATTGCAACCTGATAATGTATAAAACCTTTGATCAAACGTAAATTATTTTGTCTCACAGAATTCATAGTTTAAAATATCTTATGTTATGTCTTTGACTTTGGGATGCAAAGATATAGGAATTAGATAATCTGAGTTTGTGGCAAAGAATCAATCACTTTGTGGTACGAAGATATTCTTGTATGCATGTTCCTATATATGTATATCTCCTGGTTACTTCAATACTTGTAATGGTTAAGCCAGTACAGGGAAAGTATAATAAATGGTCCTTCATACTTATACTTGACAACAAGCATTTGTCAAGAAACCATTATTTTTACATTATTTATCTATACAATGTATTGCTGTGGGCAAAGAACTGATTTCCTAATATTTTTACAATATTCGGTTTCTCTCGTTTTCCCTGAAATAACATTTTTTTCCACAAAAAATATTTTTAACCAAATTTTCGTAATTTTTACTTTAAATTAGTTTGAAACATTCCACTGCACACAAATTGATTTATTGGATTGATATGATAAATCTTAAAGTTCAATTTTACGCACAAAAGAAGTTCAGCAGCACTTCCTTTTGGTTTAATTCACACTTCAGAATGATTCAAGTTATAGACTAAGGACCAATTGAAATTTAGATTAACAGTGAGAACCAGATTACTGTGGACTATGAAGACGACCTTTAGACTCAAATTATGATGTTAATTACAGCGAAAACCAGAAAACTCGGAAATGGAAAGACGACTTTTAGAATCAAGTTATAACTTTAAAAAGTCCAATGAGCATGAGACACAGCAATTGTGCAGTGTAAACAGACCCATTTTACTAAATTAGTGCTTCATTAAGTGTCTATTAAAACTATTTGCTTTGTAACAACATCAAATACACTTAAGTATTGCTATAATGTCGCCTTATTCCACAGTTTTCTGTTTATCACTGTAGTTCAAAAAACATTTTAATAAACACTGCACAGACCATTTACTTATAGCTAATTTTTTGTAACAACGTAACCCACACTACTTAAATGCTTTCTAATTCCACAATTTAATGGTTCTCACTGCATATGAATTTTTGTTTATTTATATCCCCGGTCGCTTTACTAGATTTGTACTGGAAAAGAAGTATGTTATGTGAAAACATTGTTTTATTTCAATATTGTTTGGTCCGAAATTAATGTGAATCAACTCTGGCGTAAAATTGGGAAATGCGGGAAACAAATGAAAAGAAAGATGGCTCCGAGATGAACATGGCCGCCATTTTTTTTTATTTAGGATAAACTGCCCCACAGCTGCTGCCGCCACACTGACAAAGGGATCTGTAAACTGGATTCGGCAGAGGCGGACGTTTTCCCGGTAAATATAGAAAAACTGAAACCTTCAACAAAAAATTATGATTTTAAATATAAATATCTAACTGTTAATGTTAGAATTATTGGTTAAAATTGAAAATAATAATGTGTTTTAAAGATTTAAAGACTTCAAACCTTTAAAGCATAATAGTTTTTTTTTATGGAATCAGATTATTTTAGAAAAAATCTCTAACATTTTTAGAGTGGTTGTCATGAGCTGATGTGGGGGACAGTAGCAAACAATCCAGCAAACTTAGGAATATATCAAAAATTAGTCTGCAGTGCTCGTCTTCTTAAGGGGGGGGGGGGTGGGGAATGGTTTTTTCCTTCTGTACCATTCCAATTTTTCCTATTTTTTTCCTCTATTTTTTCTTTCCAATCCTAACTTTTCCCTTTTCATCCTTTCTTAACTCCCTTCCCATCCATTTTCTTCCCTCTTCTCTTCCCATATACTTCCTTCTTCCTTCCCTTTTCTTCCCTATCCTTTCTTTTCCCTGCTTATCTTTTTGTTTGTCTTCCCTTTTCCCCTTCCCACCCTTCTCATCTTCTCTTTCCCTTCCCTTACTTCCTTTCCCTTCCCATTCTTCCTTTTCCCATCTCCTTTTTACCTTCCCATCCTCTCTTTCCCTTCCCTCTCTTCCTTTTCCCTTTCCTTCCTCTATTTTCCCTTCCTTCTTTATTTTCCTCTTCCTATTCTTCATTTTCTCTTCCTTTCTCCCTTTCCCCTCCCATTCTCACTTTTCTCCCCTTGATTCCTTTTCCCTTCTCATACTTCCTTTTCTCTTCCTTCTTTCCTTCCTCTCCTTTAACCTTTAGATTATATTTTCTCTCCTCTCTTCATGAGATATTATCTCAAACCTTTAGATTATCTTTTCTCTCCTCTCTTCATGAGATATTATCTTCAACCTTTAGATTATCTTTTCTCTCCTCTCTTCATGAGATATTATCTCAAACCTTTAGATTATCTTTTCTCTCCTCTCTTCATGAGATGAGATATTATCTCAAACCTTTAGATTATCTTTTCTCTCCTCTATTCATGACAATTTTAAAAAGATTCTTATTTCAAAAGATGTTGACAACAGTTTTTTTGGGAACTGTTAAAAAATCTGAAATTATTATGAAGTTTTTTATAAATTTTGTTAAAATCTCATTGTAAAACATTTAAATGCTAAAGAGTAGAAACAAATTCAAATGTGTCTTATTCATCCATTATCTTTATTAAAAAATCGTTTCATTACTTTAGCTGAAATGTTTTCGTGTTTTTTTTTTTTTTTTTGGGGGGGGGGGGGGGTTTCTCCATATACTTAAAAATCCCCCTTCTTCCTCCCCTATGTCAAATTAATAAAAAAAAGTATTAAACCGCCGAACGATGCACCGCAAGAAATTAAATTTCTCTTCAAACAGAATTCATTATAACTCAAGTTTAGCAGCCTGCAGCTCTATTCTTAGCTTTAAACCAGAGAATTAATGAAATAAGATGCAATTTCTTTTAAATCTTCCACTAATACACTCTCTTCATCTCCTTCCTTATACATTCTTTGTTCTTCTCCTGATACAATTCTGTTTTTATAAATCCTATTAGAGGGAATTGATAGAATTGCACAATTGCATCTTTTGATGCGAAAGTTTTGCAAAAGTGTAACAGTAGATGAATAGAAATTCCTTAAACTGCAACCTTTTAGCCAGGTTAACCTGAAACCTGGAGTTATTATTCTTTTCCAGGTTAACATGAAACCTTGAGATACTTTTCTTCTCTATGTTAACCTAAACCTTGAGATACTTTTCTTCTCTAGGTTAACCTGGAACCTGAAGTTATTATTCTTCTCCAGGTTAACCAGAACTAACTTTAGAATCTGATATCCTTAATCCCGATCTGTTAATTAATCTGGAGATTAAATTCATGAGGAGAACAAGCAATATTTAATCTGGAGATAAAGAAAAAAGAGTGGATCAAGCCTTAATCCCGATATTCACCATTCTAAAGTTCCCAGCTCTGAAATCTGGAGTCATTGTTCTTCTCCAGTTTAACCTGAAACCTGGAGTTATTATTCTTCTCCAGGTTAACCTGAAACCTTGAGATACTTTTCTTCTCTAGGTTAACATGAAACCTGAAGTTATTATTCTTCTCCAGGTTAACCTGAAACCTTGAGATACTTTTCTTCTCCAGGTTAACCTGAAACCTGGAGTCATTGTTCTTCTCTAGTTTAACCTGAAACCTGGAGTTATTTTTCTTCTCCAGATTAACCTGAAACCTGGAGTTATTCTTCTTCTACAGATTAACCTAAAACTTTGAGACACTTTTCTTCTCCATGTTAACCCGAAAACTGGAGTTATTGTTCTTCTCCAGGTTAACCTGAAACCTTGAGATACTTTTCTGCTCCAGGTAAACCTGAAACTTTGAGATATTTTCTTCTCCAGGTTAACCTGAAACCGGGAGTTATTATACATTTCCAAGTTAACCTGAAACCTGGAGTCATACTTCTTTTCCAGGTTAACCTGAAACCTTGAGATACTTTTCTTCTCTAGGTTACCTTAACTCCTGGAGTTATTATTCTTTTCCAGGTAAACATGAAACCTGGAACCTAGAGTTATTGTTCTTCTCCAGATTAACCTTAAACCCGGAGTTATTATTCTTCTCCAGGTTAACATGAAAACTGGAGAAATTGTTCTTCTCCTGGTTAACCTGAAACCTTGAGATACTTTTCTTCTCCAGATTAACTTGAAACCTGGAGATTCTATTCTTCTCCAGGCTAACCTAAAACCTAGAGATATTGTTCTACTAAAGGTTAACCTGAATGTATTAATTACTCTTCTCCAGAATAACCTTAAACTTTATAATACTCTATATCCTGATTATTCTGAAAATAGGAATAATGTTCTTCTAGAGTTTAGCCTGAAATTATCTGGCACTTTTCATATTAAAGTTAACCAGGGTGCTTGGAATACTTTTGTTGTCGGATAGAAACAAGTTTCTCAAGTTGCACAGATAAACAACAGTATAACCCTCAAATCAAAACCGATAATCAAGAAATTCTCTTTATTTCCTGAAAAAATTATATAAATAATAACATATAAAACTGAAAAATGAATGTTTATAATTAAAAGATTCTTACGATCTATTTTGTGACATTTTTAAACTTCTGAAAAGAATGACAATTAATTATTAACGAAAATCACTAATTCTTTATGTGAAAATATTCTTTGTTTAACTTTTGAAAATGGATGGATTCACAATGCTTTAGGTTATTTACACTCCGATAGAGAGAACAAAGGAACCGGAGGCTAAAATTATTTGGTTTGGATTTTAGAGTCTCCGAGAGGGGGGTCTAAGTTAAAGACGACTTTACACTGATCATATGTAGTTAATGGTTGACAACTTTTTGTCTGCAACTGAATACTGATACTGGAGTAACCAGCAATGCCTGTATTTTGAAGATATATGTTGTATTCAGTATCTGGTATTCTAATGGTGTCCCTACTACATCTCTCATCTATCTGCCTCTCTATCTGTCTCGCTCGCCTTGGAACCAGGGACTACACGGCGCTTAAATAGGGACGGCAGGGGCGGAAAGACAGGTAAAACAAGTAAATTGATCAAATAAAAAGGATTAAGGCGCAGAAACTTAAAAATCGTCTTATTGCACAAAACGTTTTGAATCTAGGACAACATTATAAGGCAAAGGAATTGAAAACTTGCCTCAAATTCAAATTTTTCTAATCTTATATCTTTGCAACCCGACATTTGCGTCACACTGAATAGTTGGAGCTAAAGGGGATTTGTCTGTACTTGGCTTTTTAAAATCTTAAACTTTGAACCGGTGATTTAGGATTTGAGCCAGTGAGCAGTTCAGAAATATTTGCATGAGTGGTAGGTATTGTTCAGCGGCTTTTCTCAAATTCATTAAATTTGGTCCCAGTTCCTTTAACACAATTTTTTCTTAGTAACATTATTTGTATGGTTTGTTTGGCCAATTGCAAAATTGATCAAATAGACCCTTAACATATTTATATATTTATCAAATAGACCTTTAACATATTTATTCTAAATATGTAAAAGTTGATTGCACATTACATACTGTTGTATTTGTTATTGATTAAAGGTTTATTTCCTTAATCAGTTTTATTATCAAAATATTAATAGAATAATATCTATCATGACATATATATAGACTATAGCTGACTTACATAACCAAGTGGGGGGGGGGGCGTTCTGGAGCTTGTGCCCCCCCCATAGTACGCCCCTTTGCATAATCACCAGTAGATATAATTATGTATGTATGTATCTATGTTGATAAAAGATCCAAACCACAAAAAAGTAGACTACAGATTTTAATTCCTAAAAGAATTGAGTCTTTCCCACAAACTCTGATTTTCTAATCCCAATATCATTACAGACCAATGTAGTAGACCTTATATATTTAAAACTTTGAATTCTGTTAGACAAAATAATCTAAGTTTGAAATATTAAAGGTTAGCACCATCAGGTTGCAAAGATATAGGGATAAGATAGTTTGATTTTGTGGCCAAGGCTCAATTTCTTTATATCAGTTTGGGAATTGATCAATCAAAATCAATCAAAATCAATAAAAATCAATAAAAGGCCAAATAAAATACTAGATTTGAAATTACTAAAATAAACGAAGGAAAATTTAGTTTATTTCTAAAATTATATTTTGTCTAAACAGGTGTATTCACTAAATGGATTGTTCACGATTTATGGAATTAAAAACACAAAACTAAACCTATCTTATCCCTAACCGATGTTTCTGAGGGCCTAAATGATCAATAATTCCATTAAAATAATATTATGATCTTTGTATTTGGATCAAATAGTCCAATAAACATGAAAAACAACAATTGTACAACGTGCACAGTCCTTCTTATTAAAAAAGAATGATTTTTAAGGTACTTTAGCAAAACTATTTGCGTTGTAACAACATCGAATACACTTAAATATTGTCGTCTTCCTATAACACAGTTTTTTGTTCCTACTGTATTATCTTATATATTTTTATTGAGAATGAGCAATGTTTGACGAATTAAACTAATCGTTACAAATAATCAATTTATCATCATTTGTATTTTTAAGAACAGGTATTTTTTACAGTGAATAGAGCTCCTGTAAGGTTTGAGTAATGAAAATATAATTTGAGGGGATTCTATATAATTCTATTATCCGAGGGTCAGAGGGGGAGGGGGGAAACCAGGCGTTTACAGGGGGATGTTGTAACATTAATAGATGACACCCTAGTCTAAAAGTTGCATTATCCGTGCCAACATGTAGTGTATATGCATTCAGTCGTACTATCCAGTCTGGATTACCAAGTGTAGAGTCAACCCAGTACGTTTTATGCAACAAATGTAACCTGGATAAGATCACAGTGATGAGGAAAGGGGTGGAGGGGTACTCTTACTCCTCTGTCCCCATTGCAAATCAAGAATAAAGCGTTTTATGTATGTTGTTGTTGTTGTTGTTGTTGTTGTTGTTGTTGTTGTTGTTGTTGTTGTTGTTGTTGTAGCCTTTCCTATACTGAATCATCTTCTTGGCCAGTCTTGAGTCCGAGGTGGAAGGCCACGTCAATAGGGTTGTCCCAGAGGGAGCTGGCAGTCGGCTTTGCCGGGCAGTTAAAAATGTGGGTTCTGGTATAAGGGCTCTGTCCACAGTATGGACAACTGTCTGAGTATATGTACGTAGATGAGGTGCCGGGCCTTCCCCGTGTGAAATTTTTAAAACCTTGAGTATCGAAACGGTTAGTCTGTATATCCAAGGGTGGCTGTACGATGTGTGATCAATAGGTCTTTCAAAATGTTTAAGGCTACTATTAGAAGTCTCAGCCCAGCAATGTTTTAAAAAGTTTACTTTATAGCTAACTAGTAGCCAAGGTTTTGTTGTTTGCCAGTGGAAAACTTGTGAAAAGATGAAAAAACAAATATTTGTTCTAATAGAATTGGATACAATAACCTTTTGGTAGTTTGGCGTTATTAACAAATAATTTCTCTACATTATTAAAATGATAAAAAGAAATGATTTGTAAACCCCCGGGGACGATATAACCTTAATCAGCACATTATCTGTGGAGAGTGGAGGGTAGATTCCTTTAAACAGCTTTTTAAAAAAATTTAAAAAATATGTTCCAGGAAAGCATTTTAATAAAAGACATACTTATTGCTAAAAATCTTTCAGAATTGTCAGATCAGTTAGAAAATAGATTTTCAACGTAATTTAATTGAAAATCAAATAATAAATAATTCGTTGAATATTTTAATTAAGTAACATGAGGAAAAGATAAAGTATGGTTCCAGTATCTGAGGAATAGGAAGACGTTTGTGACACGTCATGTGACACGTCATGCTTTAAAATAGTTCAATGAACATGAAACTCGGCAATTGAGCATTTTACACAGACCTATTCGCTTGATTAGTTGATTTTACACAGACCTATTCACTTGATTAGTTGATTTTACACAGACCTATGTTTCTGAGGGCCTAAATGATCAATAATTCCATTAAAATAATATTATGATCTTTGTATTTGGATCAAATAGTCCAATAAACATGAAAAACANAAAGAAGTTACAAAGAGTTTTATGAATGGTATTATATAAAAGGGAAGAGGTTACTTAGTCAATAAAAGAATTCATTGAGACAACCAAGAAAAGTTCTACTACTGGAGACCTAGAACTTAAACCTTGGTTGTATTTAGGATTGATGTAGGACGGAGTTCTACTACTGGAGAACTAGAACTAAAACCTTGGTTGTATTTAGGATTGATGTAGGACGGAGTTCTACTACTGGAGAACTAGAACACGTCCAGTCTCAAACCAGTCAATCCGCCTCCCTGTCCAGTGTAGACAGTAACATAGAGAAAAATCAAAAGTAAGTTCTTTATATTTTTATATAGATTTGATGTTGTTTTTTGAATACATGCATTAACCTAAGGAGGTCGGAATTAATGAATAGCTAGAAGTAGTTGAACTAGGTTTAACTAGTTTTTACTTATTTTTTAATGCTCTTTCGGTGACACTAGAGAAGTAATTTAACTTTCCGGATCAAGTTTAAATACTTATCACTGTTCCTTAAGTCCGAACTCAAAAGACAAAGTGTTATTATTTGTAATATATATATATAGCACTAGCTTGAAAACCCAGCGTTACCCAGGGTACTCATAGTTACTGCCGCCGTTTACCCGCGCTTGGTCCTAAATTTCAATTTTAGCTATTTTACAACTATCAGGTGGACCCACTCAACTTAGAATCTTGAAACCAGTCTAAAAAAAATCCCGTGGTTCTACCGAGTTCCTCAATCAAAATTTGAGGCTTATCGGTTCAGGGGTTTCATGAGTTATGATCGAACATACAAACAGCCAAACAAAAAGATTACAACTTTAAATATATATATATATATACAAATATTTTCCCATTTTTGACAAATTTCATGAAATGCAGAGCTAGCATCTATCATAAATTGGCTTAATATTCTATGAAAATTAAAACAAAAAAACAAGCTTTTTAGCTAAAAATTCAAGTTCTTAGGGCTGTGTAGTATTTAAGTGGAAGGTTATACACCAGAAAGGTCAGATCTTGAGGATTTCGTTGAGTCAAATTAATTTCTAGGTCTTTGTGTTATTCAGTAAATATTAATGTTTATATTTTATCTGTTCAGTTCCTTCCTTTGATCATCATATCAATCTTTACCATTTTTATACACCACAGCAAAAATATTTGTCAAAACTTTGAAATTCTGTTCTTGAATTCCCTACCAAAGTTTTCAAAATGGTTTAAAAGGGTAATTTCAATGACCCTTCACACAAAGAGAGAATTGCCCGATGTACAACGGTACCCTTTAACCTTTGACTGATCAACGAGGATAGAGATCTCCGTGTGTTTATCTCTAAATTACCGTTTAAATGGAGTGTGCGCTAGCGTACAATGTGAACTCATCACAACTGACGTTATACATATTCCTAAATCAAGAATATTCTTTATCCAATCTTAATGTAAATATTTATTTTCTGCGTCCTCTAGAAAGTAATTATTAATAATTCTTATATCAAACAGCTTGCAAACAAAGAGTAATCAGTTAAAGGTTTTGAGAATCGGACACACCACACTTAAATGGAGGGTCACTTAAAGGGAGTGACCGGCAATGTATGGTAGTTGAACTGAAATGTTGTATTGTGGACAACAATTTTTAGGATTCATTTGAGACATATAAAACGTTTCTACGACGTATATTTACTGAGTTTGAGCGCAAAGTCGACGTACAAAATCATAAATTTGGGTGGGTACGTTTTCAGAATGGGGTTTTTCTAAATTATTAAATAACGACGACAAAAAATGTAAACAAAATTCTAGAGTAAACTAATAAGTTGTTTAGGAATAGGTTGACAAAATAAAAACTCTCATCATAGAAAATAAGTAATCTTATTTAATTATTAGTCTCTCATTATTCACAAAGATTTTCTGCAGATTTCCTGGAAGTTTTTTTTGAAAAGACGACATTTGAAGAATTTGTAGAAATCTGCCAACAAAATCATAGAAAATAAGAAATTTAATATAATGATAAAAACGAAATAATTGATTCTTACATTGATCTATTGCCAAATTTCTTTTAATAAATATGTTCCTAAACATCTAATAAGTTACTATAAAATTTTTACTTTATTTTTTGTCGGCGTTATTTAATAATTCAAAAAAAAATATTCTGAAAACGTACCCACCCAATTTCATGATTTTGAACGTCGACTTTGCACTCAAACTCAGTAATTATACATCGTGGAAACATTTGAATGTCTTAAATGAATCTTGGTTCAAAGGGTTTTGTTTTAAATGTTTCTGCTTTAAATAAATATATAGAAATTAAGAGAAGAACGTTTTAGGGGAATCTGGCCTTTTTGTAAGATGTTTTATTTATTTTAGTCAGTTAACTATCATAGGAAATTAATTTGAATATGATAAAATTAATAGTTCAGAATAAGGCAGTAACAATAAATTATATTTAGCTTGAGAAAGTTGGAAAGATTGATTAATGTAAAATGTTTCTAATTCTAAGTTGTAATATTTTTGTGAAAACTCTATTTATTGCAGCTGACAGACTTAACAATTCATCTTAGCAAATAGTTTAATATATATCAATTCATGGTTTAAATAGAATTATTTAATGATAAACGAGATGTGTAATATTTTAAAACTAGGCTTTCAGGGTGCTTTGCAATCGTCTTCTTAGCATACATTGTAAAACAAAAACAAACAAAAAGTTAGCGGATTTTCTAAAACATTTCGTGGATTTTCAAAATTAATTATGAATTAAGGTTCGCCTAAAATTACGTTTACACTCCCGTTAAGAACATCAGCGCCAAAAGCAAGATCGTCACTTACTTCATTTTTTGTCATTTTGTTACAAATAAGATACAGGGTTAAGGATTAGACTACAGAGACGATTGAACATAATTTGCACTATTACGTTTGCCATAGTTACACCAGCCATATAATGTTTTCCATAAGTAACATTTGCCTTTTAACTAACGCTTGTCGTTAAGCAGACTTGCCATTATTGAATGATAAATATGCATTAATTACTATCAATTTTATAAATTCTACTTATCGTTAATAAAGACAAAAGTCTAAATTCAAACTTCATATTTTCATATGTACTGGTGTTTTAGGTCGTTAAAAAAGTCTCATCCTGTAGGTAAGGAAAATGCTCGCATATTTGAGGTTAGGCATGTTCTTGAATACAAAAGAGAGACATTCATACATGTATTTTAAATGAACTTAGCCTTAGAAATGAAGATATGCATTGCATACATGAAAGTGAACTAGGTGCTAGAGAGTATTCTACTGAATAGGATCAAACTATTTACTCATAAACTTGAAATACAAGGAATAGACTTTAAACTTCATACTTAGATTCAACTACTGGTGTATTCGAGGGGGAGGAGGGATATTGATTGATGGTGGAGGGAAGAACGCTAGGGGTATTGTTTAAGAAAGGGCGAGTGTATAGAACTATAGTTTAGGAAAGGACGAGTGTAAAGAACTATTGTTTAGAAAAGGACGAGTAAATAGAACTACTGTTTAGGAAAGGACGAGTGTATAGAACTATAGTTTAGGAAAGGACGAGTATGTAGAACTATTGTTTAAGAAAGGGCGAGTGTCTAGAACTATTGTTTAAGAAAGGACGAGTGTATAGAACTATAGTTTAGGAGAGGACGAGTATATAGAACTATTGCTTAGGAAAGGACGAGTGTATAGAACTATTGTTTAAGAAAGGGCGAGTGTCTAGAAATATTGTTTAAGAAAGGACGAGCGTATAGAACTATTTTTTAGGAGAGGACGAGCGTATAGAACTATTGCTTAGGAAAGGACGAGTGTATAGAACTATTGTTTCAGAAAGGAGGAGTGTATATAACTATTGTTAAGGAAAGGACGAATGTATAGAACTATTGTTTTAGAAAGCATAAGTGTACATAACTATTGCTTAGGAGAGGACAAGTATATGGAACTATTGTTTAGGAATGGACGAGTATATAGAACTATTGTTTAAGAAAGAACGAGTATATAGAATTAATGTTTAGGAAAGGACGAGTGTATAGAACTGCTAGCAGAGCTACACTGATTGATCAGGATTCAGGAAATGTTTATCAGGTATTAATCTTACTTAGGTCCACCCAAGGTTATATAATAAGGTTGCTTACTCTCGATGCGCTCCAATTTACGGAAAATGTCGTCAACTTTGGTCCACCATCCTAATCAGGTTCACTCATTAGGTAGTATATAATCCTACTTAGGTTTAATCATTAGGTAGTAACCCTACTTAGGTCCACTACACTAGGTAGTAAGCCTAATCAGGTCCACTACACTAGGTAGTAATCCTACTCAGGTCCTCTACACTAGGTAGTAATCCTACTCAGGTCCACTACACTAGGTAATAATCCTACTCAGCTCCTCTACACTAGGTAGTAATCCTACTCAGGTCCACTACACTAGGTAGTAATTCTACTCAGGTCCACTACACTAGGTAATAATCCTACTCAGGTCCACTACACTAGGTTATAATCCTAATCAGGTCCACTACACTAGGTAGTAATCCTACTCAGGTCCTCTACACTAGGTAGTAATCCTACTCAGGTCCTCTACACTAGGTAGTAATCCTACTCAGGTCCTCTACACTAGTTAGTAATCCTATTCAGGTCCACTATAATATTGTTGAGCACAAAAAGGGGCCTCGAGGTAGGTCTCAGATTGATAATCCCACCGAAGGGTTCGTAATCCCACTGAAGGGTTGATTGCTCCCACTGAAGGTTTGATTGCTGCCACTGAAGGTTTGGTAATCCCACTGAAGGGTTGATCGAGGTTGGGCTAAGGATGATAATCCCACTGAAGGGTTGATCGAGGTTGGTCTAAGGTTGATAATCCCACTGTAGGGTTGATAATCCTACTGAAGGGTTGATTGTGCTCGAAAGCTGGTCGATGTCTTCTTTCTAGTTTCTCCACTACTAATCCAGAGCGACAATGCACAATGAAGTTTATTTCTAACCTAAAATAAGTACGGTTTTAACAATAAACCGTTGAAATATTTAATTGTGAACAATGTTTGATTTTAAAAGGTTCTTACTATCTGCTGGTAGAAGCAGAAAATAAGGGGACTAGAATAAAACGATTATTACTTCTGAACAAATAAATATCCGTTTGGTTACAAAGATTTGTTCTTTACAGTAATACTCACGTATTTTAAGCATTTACTGCATTAAAACGTGTTTCACTTTTCACGAGTATGTTTTATTTACCGGAGAAAAGGTTGGGTTTGGTTCTGGAGTATGATTTGATTTAAGACGACATTTTGCGGAGAAAGATTTAAGGGTTTATGGTCTATAAATATGTATTTATAAAAAAGGAATTATATCAGTGTCAAGATTATACATATATATTTAAAGGCAATATATCCCCCCTTCCCCTCACTATGTTTATGATCCCCTCCTTCCCTTCATTCTGTTTATCATCCCCCCTTCCCCTCACTATGTTTATGATCCCCTCCTTCCCTTCATTCTGTTTATGATTCCCCCTTCCCCTCACTATGTTTATGATCCCCTCCTTCCCTTCATTCTGTTTATGATTCCCCCTTCCTCTCACTATATTTATGATCCCCTCCTTCCCTTCATTCTGTATATGATCCCCCCTTCCCCTCACTATATTTATGATCCCCTCCTTCCCTTCATTCTGTTTATGATCCCCCCTTCCCCTCACTATATTTATGATCCCCTCCTTCCCTTCATTCTGTTTTTGATCCCCCCTTACCCTCACTATATTTATGATCCCCTCCTTCCCTTCATTCTGTTTATGATCCCCCCTTACCCTCACTATGTTTATGATCCCCTTCTTCCCTTCATTCTGTTTATGATCCCCCCTTCCACTCACTATTGTACATGATCCCCTCTTTCCCCTTTTTTTGTATATGATCCCCCCTTCCCCTCACTATGTACATGATCCCCTCTCCTTAATCTCACTTGGTATATGCCCCCCCCCTTTTCTGTTCTATTTAGGTCTGGATTCTGAGGTTATATTTTATTTTCAAATTAAATTCTGGTTTAAACAATTTATCCTTATTTTAGATAATAGAGACGAAGGACCGAGGTTGGAGGGAGAAGGATGAATCCAACCTACACTCCGTGTCTGCTACTATACACAACGAGGGTAGGGACCAGGAGTACCAGGAGATCAGGAGAGAAAAAAGAGAATGTCCGAACCCACCCAGTACAAGATCATATACTCCCATCAGTCCTAACCCTGTCCCTATGCCCCAAACCTACTGCCCGACACCGTTGACCCAGGCCGGGGTGTGTAGCAACACCTTGGGCCGGTCCCTTCGTCTCTCACAGAACTCCGACTACGCACAGATTGTTAAATCTCGTAGTCCTGTTAAACAGTCCTTTTGTGAGTATGAAACTAGCCTGGTTAGATCTGAACCTGATCCTACACTAACCTACGACTATCCACCCACTCAACGGGAGACTATAGAACGATATATAGCTGTGCCGATCAGCTCAACAGATCACCTGCTGATCAGCAGTACAGGTACAGGTCAGCACTACCTGGCTGAACCTGTTTCTAATCTTCTGAGTGAACGAATACAAGAACGCATGAGCGCAGCTCAGGGTTACGCGAACTATAGTAAGGATGCAGAATATTCCATGGACGCGTCCTACTCCAAGGACGCGGGATATGTGGTGGAGACGTCCTACAACAAGGACATGGTGTATAACCTGGACGCGTCCTACAATGACCGAGACAATTCTTATTATGGTTATACTCCTGCAACCCTGGAGAGTCCAACCTACGATAAACCTCCTCCTCCCCTACCTGCTCCTGGATACGAGCGACCTGTACCCCTGGGGGCCAGTAGTCGAGCCACATCAAAAATGTCCTTGGACTGCTTAGATAAAGAGACAAATTTCTAAAGCTAAAAGTACTGTCACCCTATCATCCAAAAGCGGGTTCAAACTAGTTAAAAGACTATATTTTGCTGGATCTGTGAAACCTTAAGAATTGTCTTTAATGCCCATCTTTTGATACCTGAGACCAGATTTAAATAACTGCGAAAAGTAGTAAAACCAAGTGGATAGAGTTGAACCACTTCTCCTCTTGTGCTCTGAGTCAAGCTGAAAAGAATTTTTTAACTTAATCTACACGTGGTTCAGCTATATCTCACTATTCATTAAATCTGATCCCTGATAAACAATTTTATGTGTTTTTTTTCTCACTTTTAGGATCTCATTTTACGTGTTTCACGTTAGTGCCTAACCCATACCTCTTATATACTTACATAGTTGACTTATTGGTACTTTACACCTGGGCCAAAAACTTTAAGCATGAAAAAAACTTAAAACTCCGTATCGGAAAATTTGTTACATTTATGGACAAAATTTTTTTTAAATTATGTGTTATTTTTTACCAGTTGCCAAAGATTAACTTTCTAGAGATAGTAAAACTTATGAAATCCCAAAAATAAACTTAAACTTAGTTTCCGAAACTCAGTTGTAATAAATTCCAAAGTTTCAGTCTCCGAGATATATTAAGGAACAGTTGGAGCCGCACTTGCAGGTTTATTTCATATTTTTATATTCTTTTCCAGCAAAATCACAATTCTACAACGAAAATATAAAATTTAACGACAAAGGGAGTTTTTTTTGCCATAATATAAAGTTTTTAAGTTCTAACCAAGATTTATTCTGAAATAAACTTTTAAAATCCTAAAATTGGGAACCTACCAAATTTACAGTGTGTTCGTTTTATCTCTTGACGGGTTTTATTTTCATTTTATAGTTTTAACTTGAAGTAACCCTCCATCTGTATAGTTATATGTCTGATGCACAACGGTACTCTTTAAAATTTCGATTGATCAAGGATGACAGAGTGGATACATTTCATATTTTTTTTTCATATTTCAAAAATATTATTATTTATTTCCAACGAACACTTACACTTTTTATTATTAGAGCGTTAAAAAGGTGGATTTCTTTGACATAAAAAAAGTTGTTCAAATAGTAGATTTTAATAAAGGATGGGTATCAAATATTTAAAAGTCAATAGTTGGTTCATCTTTCTTTCATCCCCTCTGATACCCGTGTTGTAACTTGTGTGCCCCTCTTACGCCCCCCCCCTGAAAAGGTTCCAACTGTGCCCCTCCTATCCCCCCTGAAAAGGTTCCAACTGTGCCCCTCCTATCCCCCCCTGAAAAGGTTCCAACTGTGCCCCTTTGGTGTATAAGCCTATATATATCCTACGTACTGCCTCCAGCCAACATTTAACTAAACTTTTAAATTTTCCCTCAACAAAACAAGATAGAAAAACAACCTTTTTAATATTCAAACCTAACTTTAGCATCTGATTGAAGGGTGTATAGCCAAGTACATATTCTGGAAAAGGTTCGAAAGGTGAAGGAGATCAAAATTGCACTTTATTTTTGTTTTATAGATTGTGACTTTATGAACCTTTCAAGCTACAAGTGTACACTATTGTGAGTTAAATATTGTTTATACATATTAAAAAAAAAGTTTCAGAAATGCCCAAATAGTTCAAACTACTATAAATGTGCATTAACTTTTTCTCTTGAGGTCTTTAACATCACTGCCGAAGAAAAGTTTATAATCTAAATTATCCTGTAAAATTATTTATATAGCTCTTTATCAATTCACCTAACTTAGGCACAAATAAGTTTTAAAATATATATTAGTAAACTTTCTAAATATTCTACACTTAAAGTTTTTTTTTCAAGTGATACTTATACGCCTAATTGACACTTAAACAATTAAACTCGTAATTTTATTTTTTGAAAATAGTTTTTTAAATGATGATTTTTCTTTAAAGTAAAATTTTTATTAAAGCAGACTTTCTAGGAATATAGTTAATTGTTGATACTTTTTAATTATACAGGGTTACCCACAAGGGATGAGACTGTAAAGACGACCCAAAACTCTAAAAATATAACGATTTATAAAGCTTGATTTTTGGTTTCTGCATTCAATTGAGTAATTCAGTGGTTTACTAAATAATTAAGCACAGTAATAAGCCTACAAGCCTACACAAGCCTACAAGGAACCCTAAATGCAAGTAAATGGGCTAAACAATCAGACAATCGTCTTTGAAGTCTCATCCTTTGCGGGTGGCCCTGTTGTTATTTTAAACAGTTGTACAATATTTAGAATCGTGAATTGTCCCTTTAAAGTAAACACTTTGCCAAACTCCACCAGTAGTAGTATGTATATATATACCTGTTAAACCTTTCTCTAACCGTTAAGAAAAGAAATAAAAATTATTTATTAGATTATTTATTCTAATTAATGTCATGTAGATGCGTTCACATTGTACGCACAGGGTTACCAACAAAGAATGAGATGATTCCTCGTAACTATAAACTTTTTTTCTCTTTTATTTTATTATTTTAAGAGTTGGATCGTCTTATTTTCAAGTTTCAAGTCGTCTTTACAGTCTAATCCTTGCCAAGTAACTCTGTACTTGTGGAAAAGTTCCAGTTCAAAGATTANTTCCACCCCCTCTTATCTTCGAAACCCAATTCTCATAATGTTTCCTGCTTTCATTTTATAACACAGTCAAGAATATTAAACTATTGTTGAAATGTTTTTTGAAGAAATCTAATTTTTTAATTAGACTTTTGGACTCAAACGGGCTCTATTTATCAATAATTAAATGAATTTTCGGATAAGTAAGAAACGAATAAGTTTAACAGAAGCATGTTTATTTATTGTTAGGAAGGTTGTTTCTATATTAAGCTAGGTAAGAATATAAACCAAAAGTATACGTTACCGAGCCTCTGTATTAGATATTGAATTGAATTGTTGGAATACTCTTTCTATGCAAATTGTATTATGCAAAAATATGGCGAAACTTTATTTTTCTTTGATCCAAGATATTCAAATACTTTAGAAGGGACATTATAACATTTGGTTGCTGCAAAGGTAGTCCTATTAGTAGAATATATGGTAATAGGATTTTATCCGAATGGTTTACGTGTGTCCTGTGGACACTTGTACAGGGTTAAACAAGGGTTAGATTTTGGGATTTTAAATATTTCTGTGTTAACATGGGAAAATGGAAAAATATAACAAATAAAGAAAGTTTATATATAATATTGACAGTGATTTGTGGATTTTTGGAGGATTTTTTAAACTTACTTTTGGAGATGTATTACTCTCGTTTTAGGGGTTTTTCCATCCAAACCATGGTTTTAAATTCAAGGAATTAGCATTAAAACTCCAGTTGTTAAATAAAATAATAATTTGTACTTTTCAATTAGCGATTCGGACACCCGACATGGTTTTGATTTCTAATTATTATCAAAATATATTGCAATAGAATTTAGATTTAGATAATTCGAGAAAAGTTATATATAGACTAAGCTGCCTTTAAGAAGTTGAGACCTAAAATAAAGCTTCTGATCTAACTTTTAACGTCAGAGAATAATGAATTTTGACTCGAGACTTAGCTTTTTAATAGCAGCCTCAGCTAGGAGTAGTTTAATCCTCATATAATCTAATAATAATATAAGAAAGACTGCCCACATTACATCTCGATATCAAGCATTCCAGAGATTAATTATATTCACACAAAAATTCCGATCTCGGTGTAGTAAAGTCCCTACTCCATGAGGGTTTCTCGTTAGCTATCAATGTCAACACAGACACAAGCTCTTAAACTATCAATACTAGACCAATGGGCACCATCTTGTCAGCTATCAATGTCAACTTTAATCAAAGCAGAGTATCTTCCAACTAACTATATTTGGGGTTTCTATGTTACTGTGAACCCAACCAGGGTTCATCTCTTTGTACATAATCTCATATACGTTTATTGCTCCCAGTCGGAGAAATTATGCACATAAAAAATGCAATTTAAGAATAAAGCCAAACAATCTAGATTTAGTTCAAAAGGGTCCAGGTATGTTGCAGCCTTCAATACATAACAGTTTAGGGGGACAAGGGTATTGAACCTCTTCTCTTATCTAGAGATACCACCAGCTGGCTGTGGGTTGCAAGGATCAGTGCTGGAGAAAGGAGTAACAGTGTAGAGGGAAGGGTATTGAACCCTCTTTCTTTTCTAGAGAACAGCATTTATCTTGCCGGCAGAAAAAGCAGATCGTCGGCGATCTAAACCCTGGAGTTCCATAGGGGAGTTAGTTAGCACAAAGCATCTGATCAGAAGAGTTGAATGGAAATATCTTCACCCCAAGCGAATGTTATGCATATTTAGATCAACTTTAATTGGTCCAACACTTATCTTTGGTATCGTTATATTGTAAAAATATATATCGTGTGTGCAACCATGCTTTGTTATTCCACTCAATCTTGGCTTTTTAATACTGAATTCTTTTCGAGTCTATATTACAAGTTAACGTTGATCGACGTAATTACAAGTTTTACAACGATATAAATACAACGTAACTAAGCTAATCATGTTACGTAGATATTTCAGCACAGTTAATTTAAATCACAATATGGATATTGTGTAGCTATTTACAACGTAGATAATTAATAATTTACAATGTAATTCAGGTTTACAGATCTAGTGTTACACTATATTTATTTCATATTTTTTAGCTCTTCCATTTCCAGAATTTTCCAGGGCCCAAATTTCTTTGATTTTGCATATATAGCTACTGAACCTTATATGGCCAATAGATATATTTCGACATTTTTATCAATAGCAGGACCATTCTCATATTTGACATGGCAGTCAAAACTTGAGATAAGTTTGAGAATATATTCACCAGTCAATAATAGATTAGACGATATTAATGAATAAAATATAGGTTTTTGGCAACGGATTCTGGTTTAATAAGGATATAACCATAATATATTTATAGGTTCAGGGTCGTACACAGGAATTTTTCCAAAGGGATCAGCACCCATTGGGGCCTTAGGCCCCCCTGGAAACCAAAGATTTTACTGTTCGAGGGGGGGGGGGGGATTTATTTCTGTCTTTGATGATTCATATACTATTATGACAAGTTGCCATAATTTAACTTTTAAATGTTTCTTTGCAAATATTTTTCTTCATACATTAATAAAGTCCAAAAATCAGATTTATATGAATAGAGTATTTTATATGGATATTGTATTCATTTATTCATCTATCTTCTATTCTTCTTCTATATAATAAAACAAGACATTCGTATATATATATATATATGTTGCGTATACGCGGCCAAACTGCTGGACCGATTGGGCTGAATTTTTTTTGTGGACACTCAGGGGTGGCTGGGGGTTTTATAGGCTAAAAAAATCGAAAATATTTTTTTCTAAATTTTTTTAAAACATTTTTATGCAATTTCTTTTCCACGGACAAAGCCGGGCTCTTCAGCTAGTATACTATATTTATATTTATATCAGTGTGAGTGAATAGTGACTCCATGTGTTTATTTGTGGTTTTATACTCATTTATCAATTGTGGTGATTATTGATAAACATAAAATAAATTGTTGGATGTATTGTTTACGAATATTTGAGAGTGGTGAAGGTGTGGGGGTCCGTGCTGGGAAACCTTTTGTTGACTAAACGGGAATGGGACTGGAAACTGCAGACTACAGACTGCAGAAGTGATATCAATTTATTTATTTAGGGGCACATGCGTCATACATGTCCAATACGAGCAATCATACTTTTTAATGTTTTGTCCGATAAAAAAACATTTCTTCTTTCTCTAAACTGATTGTTTTCTATTTCAGTTTCTAGCTATACAGAAACTGAAGTAAATTGTAAAAGCTAGATACTTAGATAAGAATCGACGATATCTTCTCAACCTGTTTTGCAATCTAGAGATTCATGAATTCCTGGAAAAGGGGGTTTATTAAGTATTTTTTGAGATATTTTCACTCTCAGTTCTGCTACTTATTATGATATTGCTTTAATACTGTAGTGCAACTATTCAATTAATCCTACATGTTCACCGCAAATATTGTGTGATGTGTCGTATCAAAAAAAAATTATTTTTCATGTAAAATAATGATTTTTTAATGAGTACAATGTACATATTTGATTTATGGATGAATAATGAATTCATATTTATGTAAATTGTAAATTAATTAATATTGTGATTTATATTAACCAGAATAGATTTCTTTTTTCATTTCATATCAGATGTGTTGCCTTACTGTTGGTACGGTTAGTTTTTTTATTGTTTGAGAATAATACACATTTTTTTACCCCCCCCTAAAAATGTTTAGGGGGGGGGGGTGCAAAAAAAATTCGCGCTTTGCGAGAAATACTTCACTCTTGCGCCCCCACCTAACAAAATGTCTAGTTGCGCGCCTGGGCATGCTCCCCTTGAAATAAAGTGTCATAAAACTTCAAGGACAGCCCTTTTCAGACTGGAAGAGAATATGTTTAGTAGCAACATGTTTGAATTGAATGTAGGTTTATAAAATCCTTTCCACGATATGCCGCATAGCTTAAATGAAATATGAATAATGAATATTTGTATTTTTAGCTTTATAAGAAATATTGTAAAGCGTAAACGCGAAGCTGTAACTTTTTTGTTTCAAAATTAGAGTTGCGACATTTGTTAAAAATATTTGAATTTAAAAATAAATTAGAGTTGCGAAATTTTGTTAAAAATATTTGAACTTAAAAATAAAAAGTTGCAAAATTCCGGAAAATGTTTTCCCAGAAAAAGTTTATATTTTGCAGGATTTTTCTTGATTTATCTAGAAATTCTTCGCCCGAGTTTATTTTAAATTGGTTTCACTTATATTTTATTTTCTGAGACTCCATTTAATTTACTGTAATCCCCTTACTATCTGAGTTCTCACACTGAATTAGATTTTCATGAGACAATTCTAAGAAAAGCTTCTAACACTATGTACAGGGATACCCACACATGATGAGACCTCAGAGACGACTGAACGGAATTTACTTTGTCTTTATTCCTACATTCTTAGTTCCCTCAAACTATTAGCTTGTTTTTTTTCTTCGTCAAATCATTATAAAGCATACCTTTTTATAACTATATGAAATGCAGAAACCAAAATTTCGCCTTAAAGTTTTAAATCGTCATTAATGTTTCATCCTCAATGTGTAACATTGTTTATACTGCAGCCTACCTAACCTGGTTTATACAGCAGCCTAACTAACCTGGTTTATACTGCAGCCTAACTAACCTGGTTTATACTGCAGTCTAACTAACCTGGTTTATACAGCAGCCTAACTAACCTGGTTTATACTGCAGCCTAACTAACCTGGTTTATACTGCAGCCTAACTAACCTGGTTTATACTGCAGCCTAACTAAATTCTAAAAAAAATCCTACAAAATAAAAACATTGTTCCTTTTTCAAAGAAAAAATTTCACGGCAAATAAAAAATAACTTTTCCTGAATTTATTTTAATTTACACAAAAACTGTTAGTATTGATGTAGTTCGTGAGCGTGCACTACGCCTGCTGCACACTAAGCTGACCACTGCGGGGCAGGAGATTTTAAACAAGGAGGCGCAGGCGCAGATTGTTGCTGAGGTCAAGAAGGTCTTTGCCTCGGTGAGTATAGTCAGATCTTTACTCAAAATGTTTCAGGGACTTTTTTCAGAGAACCTTCTTGGTAGTTACCGTAATGTATCTATATTTAACCACGCACGCTTTTACTTAAAAATAGTTCAGGATTTTACCAATTACTCCTTTTTAACTGAAACTAGAAACAAGCACATTACAGTTTCAAGAGGCTTTAAAAAAATGTTAGCCTCTCCTGCACAAATTCCTGGTTACACCCCTGATTCAGATATTTACGTTTTTTAGGAACAAACAATTACCAACATACAAAACAAATAAATATATATGTATATATAATAAATATTGTAAATATATATATACATTTTACAATATATGCACTATGGAAGTTTCAAAATATTTTAAATTTCTTCTTCTCCTCTGCAAACTTGAACATTAATTTGGTAATTAAAAAGTTTTCTAACTTTATGCAAGAAGTCAGCATTATGAATCTTAAAAAGAGGCAGCGAGAGACCGAGTTCTATCAAGTTTTTATTGCTTAAAGGGATTGCTTCCAGATTTGAGAAAAGGTGGTTTATGTTTGGAGGGCTTTCATCAAACATTAATATATTGATCGATGCTTTGCAATTAAAATTCATTTTATAAGAGCTGAGCTGGGATATATTGAGATGAATGCTTAATCTCAATCTTTTTTAATCTGCAGATTAATTTAATCTTTATTTAATATCCCGCATGGTAATCGTATCAGCTGGGCGAATAACTAAAATTAAGTGATTAAGTATAAATCCTCAAATTAAAAGCGCCCATAGTGAATATCAAGATCAAGTGACCGGGATTGTGGGGTTAAAGCGAGGTTGAAGCTGTACTCCTTTCAGGCAACTAAACAAGTTTGCTTTTTGCAAAACTAACGCTAAGAAGATGAGGGGTCGCAAAATCTCTTTATGTTAAGCTAAGCTAAAAACCATCTTTCTCATCCCATCTGTTTAAAGACAATTTTTGTTGGGGTGGGTGTGGGGGGGGGGTAGTACAATTGTGTCGGATTAAATGCATATTCTTTATTTTTTAAAAGATTGCGACATGTTTGCATACAAATTAATAATAAAAACTCCCCCATTAGAATTTTCAGGTTTTGTTTATCTTTTAGATTTAAAGAGAATAAATTTTCCTTTTAAATACTTTTAAACTTTTTCATTTAGCAATAAAACAATTAATCAAAATTTAAAAAATTTAGATGATTTTTAACTAATTATATTAAAAATTTGTTAGTTTCCCCCTTGTTAACATTTTTAATTGCTCTGAAACCACAAACTGTGTGGGTTGTATCCAGCTATCCTGGGTGTAGTTATACTAGACAGGATGCAGACTAAACACGGTTCAGTTCTCCTACTCCTACCCCTACCTGGATCCCTAGTTCTCCTACTTCTACTCCTTCCTGGTTCCCTATCTCTGCTCTGTTATGAGGGGAAGGAGGCAGCAAACTCAACCCTTGATCAATATAATCCAGCAGCATGTACAGATCATCAAGTAGGAATCTTTGTATCATACTTCCATTTTTCTTCTAATAATTGTAGATCTTAAAAACCTACATATTTCCTAATTAGTTAAAAATGCCGCCATTTTAGTTTAAATAATATAGTGCATAATTCAAGTTTAGTTCAGATCATAATTGGTCTAAGCGTTACACTTTATTTCAGAAAAATTCTTAAGAACTAAGCTCATTATTAAAAAAAACTTATTAGTTTTCGAACGTCTTTTGGAAATCTTTTTGTATTTCTGAATTTTGAAAAAGTTTTATTATGTTAAATTGTATTTGCTACATTTTGCAATGACAGGTGCATATTTTTATCTCTAAAAAAATAACTTTTTTATTCCTCAACATTTATAACTTGTGGAAAAATAAAAAAAGAGAAAGGAAATGAGTTTTTCATCCGCATATCTTTGCATCCCGATGTCATATAAAAGGTTTACACCTTTAGGTTGCACAGATATACGGATAAGAAATTTAATTAAATTAAAAATATCGCAACGTGTTTCTTATTATCGTTAGCGGATTTTAAACATTTTTAAAATTCAAAAATTTTTTAAGGTAAAAATGTTAAACTCTGTTTGCGCATGAACGGGGTTACGACAGCTAAGTTTTGGCGTTTATTGAAAACAAACATTACAGACAAAAAAACAAAATGTGAACACCACGATAAAGGAATTGAGTTTTTGTCACAAACTCTGATTTCCTTATCCCTATATCTTTAAATTTGAATGCCGGAAACCTTAGATATTTCAAACTTTGAATTATTTTAGATCAAATAATGATAATTTGAAATATCAAAGGTTTACACCATCTGGTTGAAAAGATATGGCTATTGTAAAATCATAATTTGTGGCAAAAATTCAGTTCCTTTTAATATAATTTTTTGACTTAGATATATACCACCAGAAACACCGACCTTGTTTAACGATACAGTGGGTCTATACAGAAATAAAGATGAATTGTTTAAAGATACAGTGGGTCTATACAGAAATAAAGATGAATTGTTTAAAGATACAGTGGGTCTATACAGAAATAAAGATGAATTGTTTAAAGATACAGTGGGTCTATACAGAAATGAAGATGAATTGTTCAAAGATACAGTGGGTCTATACAGAAATAAAGATGAATTGTTTAAAGATACAGTGGGTCTATACAGAAATGAAGATGAATTGTTTAAAGATACAGTAGGTCTATACAGAAATGAAGATGAATTGTTTAAAGATACAGTGGGTCTATACAGAAATAAAGATGAATTGTTTAAAGATACAGTGGGTCTATACAGAAATGAAGATGAATTGTTTATCAAGAATCAGAAAGAAAAGTGATGAAAAGAATAATTAAACCACTGTGCCAAATTCCCTTCTGATGTTTGCTTTTCAAGGAACAATCAATATGAAATATAACCATATGTAGCTGAACATATTTCATATTTGAACAAAACATATTGTTGAACAAAACATATTGTTGAACAACTAGATATTGTTGAACATCTAGATATTGTTGAACCTTGATATTGTTGAACAACAAGATATTGTTTAACAACTAGATATTGTTGAACAACAAGATATTGTTTGATGAACTAGATATTGTTGAACAACTAGAAATTGTTGAACAACAAGATACTGTTGAACCTAAGATATTGTTGGACAAAACATATTGTTGAACAACTAGATATTGTTGAACATCTAGATATTATTGAACCTTGATATTGTTGAACAACTAGATATTGTTGAACAACTAGATATTGTTGAACAACAAGATATTGTTGAACAACTAGATATTATCGAACATCTAGATATTGTTGAACCTATATATTGTTGAACAACTAGATATTGTTGAACAACTAGAAATTGTTGAACAACAAGATATCGGTGAGCAACTAGATATTTTTGAACAGCAAGATATTGTTCAACAGCTAGATATTTTTGAACAACAAGATGCTGTTGAACAACTAGAATTGTTGAACAACTATATATTGTTGAACAACTAGATATTGTTGAACAACTATATATTGTTGAACAACTAGATATTGTTGAACAACTAGGACTGGTGCTTCTCAATGTTCTCCTTGGACAAGAACGGGTTTAACACCAAGATGTGCTGGAATAAGGACTGGGAGCATGGAAGATACAAGGTATACAATAATACTTTTGTATTTATACATTCCTAAAAAGGCCTTCGGTTTTCATTTATGTATATCAATATGTTTTCGGAGGTGGGCCGGGGAGGAGTCTTAATATTTTCATGATTAGGGTAATATGGAAGTTTAAAAAAGAAAAAAAATACTTTAAAGATGATAGATGAGAGTGCTAAAGAGCATATGTCAAAGCGTCTCTTTAGTAAAAAGACAAAAAAAATAACATTATTGGACCGAGAGTAAAGTTAACAAATATTAAATAAAACTTTTTGTATTTGTTGAGGAGGATGGCTGTATAGTTGGGCAGCACTGTATATCTGGAGTATGCTATGAGAATGCAACTGTTTGTTTATGCAATGATAAGGTATAGATACACTGAGAACCAGAAAACTTTCAACTAAATGTCGTCTTTGAATTATATTGTACTTAAGAAATTTTAGCTTTGAAGTTTTTAATAGACATTATATATTCAGATTAATTAAATTATGTTTAAAATTATTTTAAACCCTCAAGAGCTTAAAAAGAGTTTTTAATTGACATTATATATTAAGATCAATTAAATTATGTTTGAAATTATTTTCAACCCTCAAGAGTTTAAACAGAGTTTAGAAAGCAAATCGGATTAGTAAAATCAACTCAATTTTATATTTTACCTAAAAATATTGAATTTAAAATTAATTTCAGATGAAATCTATAGTGTTGTATATCAGATTGAGAAATTGAATTTGTAAAAATGACACAATTTAGGATTTATGCAACGGATTTGTGGAAAATGGAAATATTTCAACTCCAATCCCCTACCCTCCCACCACACCACCTGGTACAGTAGTAGTTTAACGGAAAATAAACATCGTGTTCCATTTTACATGAGAACTTGTAAAAAGTTTAAAACTTCATCTAAAACATTTTGATATATATAGCTTGACATGTCACAATGATCTCTTGTGAAGGAGATTATTCATTTGATGTACTGTCACGTAGTTTATACGTACTGTACTGTTTACTTTAGCTGGTTAAAGTCAGTCCGGCACTTGAAATGTACCGGATATTTTAGTGGTGTGGTTCCAACGTATTGGAACTATTGGGAGAACAAAATCCCAGAAATGTTTTTAAATTATCAAAAATGTTTTTAAATCATCAAAAATGTTTTTAAATTTTCAAAAATGTTTTTAAATTATCAAAAATGTTTTTAAATTATCAAAAATGTTTTTAAATTGTCAAAAATGTTTTTAAATTATCAAAAATGCCCGAGGATAGTTCAACAGTCTAACGATCAATCTGATGTAAATTGACGATTTATTTGCATATCAGGGGTGTACCAAGAATTTGTCAAAATGTAGCCTATCAAGATCACAGTGTCAAAATGTAGCCTATCAAGATCACAGTGTCAAAATGTAGCCTATCAAGATCACAGTGCCAAAATGTAGCCTATCAAGATCACAGTGTCAAAATGTTGCCTGGCAAGATCATGCAGTGCCACTAGGACTTTTTCTATGAATTATTGTCTCCTGTTGTGTTTAGACCAGCATGAATTTTACATGATAGTCTCCTGTTGTGTTTAGACCAGCATGAATGTTACATTATAGTCTCCTGTTGTGTTTAGACCAGCATGAATGTTACATTATAGTCTCCTGTTGTGTTTAGACCAGCATGAATGTTACATTATAGTCTCCTGGTGTGTTTAGACCAGCATGAATGTTACATTATAGTCTCCTGGTGTGTTTAGACCAGCATGAATGTTACATTATAGTCTCCTGTTGTGTTTAGACCAGCATGAATGTTACATTATAGTCTCCTGGTGTGTTTAGACCAGCATGAATGTTACATTATAGTCTCTTGTTGTGTTTAGACCAGCATGAATGTTACATTATAGTCTCCTGTTGTGTTTAGACCAGCATGAATGTTACATTATAGTCTCTTGTTGTGTTAAGACCAGCATGAATGTTACATTATAGTCTCCTGTTGTGTTTAGACCAGCATGAATGTTACATTATAGTCTCCTGGTGTGTTTAGACCAGCATGAATGTTACATTATAGTCTCCTGTTGTGTTTAGACCAGCATGAATGTTACATTATAGTCTCTTGTTGTGTTAAGACCAGCATGAATGTTACATTATAGTCTCATGTTGTGTTTAGACCAGCATGAATGTTACATTATAGTCTCCTGTTGTGTTTAGACCAGCATGAATGTTACTACGGGTTCAAGGAGAATAATAAGACATCAGGTCTAGAGTTTACAGAACAATGTTTTAACACAGAACAACTGTGTGTCAGAGTAACTAAAGATGAGGAAGGATATGAATACAGGTTCCAGTATATTTTACTTTTTACAAAAACACTGTTAGAATTTAAAATTTACACAGAGCCTCATATGACAAAATTCTGTTGAATGCTAGCAGTGCGTTAGAAATACTGCATTTTATGTATTGTGTAGTTTGACTTTTTGGAAGATGTATATTTGGTTTTAAATGACCGGATGCTAGTATTTGGGTGACAGGATGCTAGTTTTCGGATGAATAAATGCTAGTTTTTGAATGACTATATACTAGTTTTTGGATGACTTATTACTAGTTTTTAGATAACTCAATACTAGTTTTTGTATAACTCAATACTAGTTTTTGGATAACTCAAGACTAGTTTTTGGATAACTTAATATTAGTTTTTGAATAACTTAATATTAGTTTTTGGATAACTTAATATTAGTTTTTGGATAACTTAATATTAGTTTTTGGATAACTTAATACTAGTTTTTGGATAACTTAATATTAGTTTTTGGATAGCTTAATATTAGTTTTTGGATAACTTAATATTAGTTTTTAGATAACTTCATATTAGTTTTTGGATAACTTAATATTAATTTTTGGATAACTCAATACTAGTTTTTGGATAACTCAATATTAGTTTTTGGATAACTCAATACTAGTTTTTGGATAACTCAATACTAGTTTTTGGATAATTTAATATTAGTTTTTGGATAACTCAATACTAGTTTTTGGATAACTCAATACTAGTTTTTGGATAAAATATTAGTTTTTGGATAACTCAATACTAGTTTTTGGATAACTTAATAATAGTTTTTGGATAATTAAATATTAGTTTTTGGATAACTTAATATTAGTTTTTGGATAACTGAATATAGTTTTTGGATAAAACAATACTAGCTTTTGGATGTTTATTTAATATTTGCTTTCTTTGCTGTTTTTAGTCCTCAGTCTCTCCTCCCAACCTTTTAAATCTATCAATTATAGTATCCTATTTATCCTATTTATTTTATTTATCCTTTTTATCCTATTTATCCCATTTATCATTTTTTTCTTGTTTATACTGTTTATCCTATTTATTCTATTTATTCTATTTATCTTGTAGGAGTTGCTGGGATTCCATCTTTAATATAGAGTTCTCAAGACCTGGTTGCTACAAAGGATTTCAACATTGTCACAGGTCTGTTCTTTAATGTTTCATTTTTCATCTTTTATTCTTCATCCTTCATCCTACAACCTTCATTCTTTATCATTCATCCTTTATCCTTCATCCTTCATCCTTTATCCTTCATCCTTTATCTTTCATCCTTCAACCTTCATCCTTCAACCTTCATTCTTTATCCTTCATCCTACAATTCTTTCATCCTTTATCCTTCATCCTTTATCTTTCATCCTTCATCCTTCAACCTTCATCCTTCAACCTTCATCCTTTATCTTTCATCCTTCAACCTTCATCCTTCAACCTTCATCCTTCATCCTTTATCCTTTATCCTTTATCCTTCATCTTTCATCCTTTATCCTTCATCCTTTATCTTTCATCCTTCAACCTTCATCCTTCAACCTTCATCCTTCATCTTTCATCCTACCATTCTTTCATCCTTTATCCTTCATCCTTTATATTTCAACCTTAATACTTCATCCTTCATTTTTTAAATCTTCCATTAATCCTCTCGATATTTACAGTGACAGCTGTCACAATGATACCCTGTTATGTGTGTGCGCGGATAACCTCTGCAATACAGAGAAGTTTACCAGCGAATCTCCTCCCATTACTCCAGGCTCTGGACTATACTGCTATGCAAGAGTAAGCTATATTAATATGGGGAATAATGATAATTAGAAAATTCTATTAAACTATTTTATTAAATTTTATCATTTATATGCTAACTAAAGGAATTGAGTTTTTATCACAAATTGGAATTTTCAGATCCCTATATCTTTGCAACCTGATGGTGTAAACTTTTATTATTTCAAACTTATGTTAATATAATCCTACAAATTCATAGTTTTAAACATCTAAGGCCTGCAAATTTGGGTTGTAAAGATATTGGGATTAGAAAGTCAGAGATTGTGGTTAAGACTCAATTCCTTTGGAACTTTATCTAGACGTGCTATAACGTATATTTACTCATCGTGCATTTTATAATATTAAATTAGCTTTATATTAGCACGGTGCTAAAAGGTTTAATTGTTTCCCGAACTTTCTCCAACATTTTTTATATTTCTAAATAAATCATCTATATAACAGTATTACCTTGGCTAAAACTCAGGACAAAATATAATCAAAAAGGTTTTAAACCTTCTTGATAAAGAGAAAATTATCACTGCAGCAATAGTTGTATGTTCAAATAACCAACCATTTAAAAAGCTGGGCATGTTCGAATCACAACGGTATCCTTGAACCCTTTATCTGATCATTAGCGTGAAAACATCGTCCCTTTTCAAGATTGAAAACTGTGAAATTCTTCTCATTTGATCTGCAAAAGAATTGCTGACGTCCTTCTGTAGAGAAATCACAATTTGAAATAATTAATTTGTTATAATTTATATACATTGATATCTCATTATTTTTTGGTCAGACAAAGCTTTAAAGAGTATCGTTTTAAATCGGACATGCTACTTTATTAATGGAGAGTCTATTAAAGTGACGACTACAGTCTCTTTAATACTTATTTTCAAAATGAAATTGTTGTTAAGGATTGGGAAGATGATAGTATAGAGGAGAAAGCTTGTTCTGCAGATGAGAACTTCTGTATAGAATTCACCTCCCTGGAATCTGATCACGTGCTCCGGGATTGCTGGAATCCGACAGAATATAATAAATATAATTTTACTGGATGTGAAACCACACAGAGCTGTTTTAGAGGGGGCTGCTACAATGCTACTGTCTGTATATGCCAGGTTCGCAAGTTCAGGGGACAAAAGTTCAAAACCTGTGACTCAGTCAAATCACGCTTTGGAACTTTCCTTCCCTGATTAAGTTAAAACCTTGGAAAGTGTAGCTAATAGCTTTCCCGTAAACAAGTAAAATTTTTAAATTATGATAATTTCACATTAAAGGAATACAGTTTACAAGAATAATTAAAATAACGTATGAATTATTTGTTAAGAAGCTAATTTCATTGCATTTATTACAAATTCTATTATTGGTGATTTCCCTTTTTTGGTGATTTCCCCCCGCACAACGTTAAGGTTTCAATTCATATTCCTAATTAAGGATGATTTATGCAACGGGTTTGGGATTGCTGGAAATAATATGACAACCCCAGAACCAGTTACAATGACGACGACAAATAAGACGATGCACTGCTGGTACGGGTTCCATCATAACGGTTCTACCGAGCACGCTTGGCAGAGGGAAGAATGTGCCCCGCAGGTCAGTACTGTCTAAGGAATTAATCTGAAGGAAAAGTGTAAAGCACATGTCCTTTGTTATTCACAGGGAAAAGGGGACATTTATTATTTAAGTTAAGAGGTATTGACTTTTAAGTCGCCATTTTGTATTGCATTGCAAATTTTCGAGATTTGTCTTAAATTAGTTTATATTGGTGAAATTCTATTAATTGTGAATGTTAAAATACTTTTTAGTCAAAATCGGAAAATTTTGAAGGTCCATAAAACTTGCATGCACATTTTGGAAAATGGCGCATGATTTTTGTAATTTTTTAGTTTTATTTTGGTTATCTTAAATTTATATAATACAGCTTCAAATTATTCCTTTAATTTTGTCATCAATATGCTATGAGTATATTAAAAATGTTAGTTTTGGTATGAAATCTACTATCAAATGATCTGCCCGATTTTCTACAGACCACTCAACGGAAGGGCGCGTTATTACTGATTTCGAACCCTGCACTCACTCTATCCCCGTAGTAAATTTTAATTCGAACATGACCTTACCAGTTTGTACCGGCCTGCCAGATAACAGCGTGTACTGACCCGATCCTATGGTACAGTAGGTCGCCTTAACCAGACTAACATACGACAGGGTAAATTTTCTTGGCATAGTCCCGTGCGAGGGCTAACTAAGACAACTCCAATGGCGCGTTCAGACTTTTTACAGTACCCGGCCTAATCCTAGGCCTATTAGTCCACCGTGCACTATTTACAAGCTGTTAAAAGTTAAGCTGAGTAGGCCTGAAACAGTTGTAGTGGAAAACAATGGCGATAGCTATTTAAGAAGGAACAGGAGAAATAAAGACAAGTTTAAAAAAATGAATTTATCATCTAATAATTATGTTTAGGAAGATAGATGCATATTAATAACATCAACGGATGGGTTTGCAATGGGGCATTGTTATGATGTGAACTATGATGATGGAAAATACGTCTCTGGAACTTATGAAACAGGTTTGTTTTTAGAAGTAAAAAATCTTTTTTTTTAAATCTGATTTTTGAAAGATGTAAAATCCTGTAAGGAATTGCTTCCAATGTAAACAGACCTGGAAAATGCATTTTCCCGCGCAATTCAATACATTACACATACCTTATGCAACTACAGTAATAACCAAAAAACTCTGAAATAGGAAGACGACTTTATAACAAGTTTGCTGGTTTTCACTGAAATAGAGGATAATTAATAAAAGGATAAGACTTTCAAGACCAAAGTCGGTTTTATTTTGATTGGGCCTAACTCCACAAGTCGAGTCTAAGAACTGGCAGTTGTCGATCACGTGACACAAGCTGTCGTCAGCTGATTAATGACTTGAGTCTAATCTAGTTGATGAAGCGTTAATTAAACCTGTGTCTAAGGAATTAAACCCCGAGTCTAAGCCACAATCTTCCAAACATGTGAACAATTACTTTAAAAATACAATTTAGGCGAGCACTGCTGGGATGGAACCTGCCACAACGGAACTATTTACGTTTGTTTAGGTAACAAGATAACAACATGGAACCAGATTTAATAAATAGTGAGAAGTAGATGAACCGTGCAGACATAGTTCAACCACTTCTCTTGTGCGCCGGTTCAAAAGGAATGGTTGAATCATGTCTACTAAGATTAACTATGTCTCGCTGTTTATTAAATCTGGTCCCAGATTAATAATTAAATCAATATCTAATTTTTTAAAATTTCATTTTATTTTCAAATTTTGATTTTTTTTTAACAACATTCCTTTATTTGCAGAGCTATATATGTTTTGAAATCATTATATTATTTATATATATATTATTTATTTTGATCGTCTTTGAGTTTTAAAACTAATACTGTGGGTGAGGGTGAAATACCCCTGGACTCTATAGTAACAAAAGACGTGTCTTGCTAAATGTTAAAATATATTAAACATCATTTTTGCTCTTTACAAACTTCGTAGTGAAAACCGATCACTGAGTCAATAGAACTTCCAGTTCTAAATATTTGGTCCAATTCATTCAATCTTTTCCACCAAAACATACACTTTTTAAACTTTTGTTCTTTAGAGACTAATAAGGATAAATGGAAAAAGAAAGGAACCAATATGAGCGATCGAAAGCAACAACTAAATTTCGAATGCATTTGTGTAATTTAAACTAAATAATATATTATCATTCATGTCAATTTTTAGAATATAATCATTGTTTCAACTGTAATGTGTAGAAAAGCATTTAAAGCAACAATTCTTTTTTATATTTAACCCTCAAGGTTTACAACATTGGGTTCCAAAGATATAGGGATTAGAAAATCAGAGTTTGTAGCAAAGCCTTAATTCCTTTGTTTAGAGTCAATGTGTAATGGAGAAGGAGCAACTACTCCGACCCCTCATCACACTACTCCAGGCTCTGGTCTAGACTGCTACTATGGATCTATTTTTGGAGACGAAAAGGAAGATATAGATAGATAGATAGAACTAGACAAGATCAAGATCAGGATCAAGAGAATCACGAGGAGGAAGGGGGGGGGGGGGCTTTAAACGTGATTCTTGTATTCTAAAATGGTTCTGGAAGCGGTGGTTTTTTTTTAACAAATTTCTTTCCGATTATCCAGTCTCTCTGAGGATTTTCATTATCAGGTTACTTTCGGGTTTTTTCGAGTGTTAACAAAATAGTTAAAATGTTAAAGAACTTGTTTTTAGCCTCATTGAATGAAATTTAACCTTACGTATCAATTGTCTTAACTTTGCATAATCTTGAGGGATTACTTTGTAGTTTATTAAACTACTAGAAATTCAAGGCGCTTCGCGCCCTTCTTTCTAGCCTTAGAGGGCGCTTAATGACGATCGAATTTTGATAGAGACAAATATTTGAAATTTTGATTTTTCATAAACCTTCCCTGGGGTCCCTAGATGTCCCACAAAAAATTTGGGCCCGATCGGTTCAGCAGTTTTGACGTTTATTGGATACAAACAAACAAACAAACAGACAAACAGACAAACAGACAAGCCAAATTTATATATAGATGATTAGAAAGAGAATGCTTAATTTCAGTAACCCACTTTAATAGCAAGGAGAAAATATTGTTCGTAAAGGAAAAAAAGGCATCACTAAGATTTAGGTGGTAAAACAGCCCCTTTCTAGAATAAAATGTTAAGGTTTCTGCTGTACAGTGATTACATGCAAAGAGGTCGGAATCTTTGTTGAATATGGCGTTGATCTATATTGTTTCTGCTTACCTTGGTTTCTTCAGGTTCTTGCCACTGAAAATTCGAAATTAAAAACAAGCTGTCTCATATTTTTACTATTCTTCATTGACCTCCAGAAGGACTTAAATTAATCCATCGGACCACAAAAATACGGATTAGAGGATTTTTAAATGGATTAACAATACAAAAGTTCTGAACACAGTTTGAATGATTTATCTGTATGTTGAGTAGAAGAACCTGACGACCCAGATCTGTACTAAGAACGAGACGATGTGCATTGCAGTGTACGGGAAGGACGATTTTTTCTCGGGGAGCTGTTGGGATCCAACCCAGGAAAGAGATAGTCATCGTGTTTTATTTAGTTTTTAAATATTCAAGGTTTTTGGACAAGAATCGGAGACGGTTTTTGGACAAGAATCGGAGACGGTTTTTGGACAAGAATTCATGAGGATGGAACACAGGTAAATGCAGCTATGGACTTCACCGCTGGCACCATGAGGATGGAACACAGGTAAATGCAGCTATGGACTTCACTGATGGCATCATGAGGATTTAACACAGGTAAATGTAGCCATGGACTTCACTGCTGGCATCATGAGGATGGAACACAAGTAAATGTAGCTATGGACGTCACTGCTGGCATCATGAGGATGGAACACAGGTATATATATAGAAGTAATCAATGGACACCCTGGAAGGGGGGGGGGCGACGAGATCTCTTCCCACTACAGTAACTTTTCAGCAGTAGTTATATGGACAACTAAAGTTTTCCCACTTTGGTCATTTTATTGTAGTGTAAAGTATCTCATTTGATACGATAAAAAGCATTCAAGGCTTTGGTTATTAAACTAACTTTTTTCTTCAAAAATTAATTTGAAAATTTCGATTTTATTTTATTTAAAACTATAAAGTATAAATATTTTCGCCTCCCTTCAACCAGTAGGGTTATAAATAGTTATAAAGGCGGGTCACTTGAAATTTCGCTTACTTTCCCTTTAAATACATTTAAAACTTTGGTTTTGTTACAAAAATTCAAATTAAAAAAATACTTTGTATGTGCACACTACTAAATCCACTCTAATACATAGTATGTTGGTCAATAAAATCTAACATAAAATTTCCTTTACAGTTTTAAACTTATATACAGGTATACTATATATATAAATACTTATAGGTTTTTACCTCTTTCCAACAAAAGAAATAAATAGAATTTTTTGTTTGCACTGCAGCTAGTTCTCTAGTTTATTAATTCTCTGATTCTTTAGTTCTTTAGTTCTTTAGTTCCTTAGTTCTCTGGTTCTTTAGTTCTCTAATTCTTTAGTTATTAAGTTCTTTAGTTCTTTAGTTCTTTAGTTCTTTAGTTCTTTAGTTCTCTGGTATTTTAGTTCTCTAGTTCTTTAGTTATTTAGTTCTTTAATTCTTTAATTCTCTGTTTCTTTAGTTCTTTAGTTCTTTAGTTCTCTATTTCTTTAGTTCGCTAGTTCTCTAGTTCTCCAGTTTATTAGTTTTCTAGTTCTTTTGTTCTCTAGTTCTTTAGTTCTTTAGTTCCTTAGTTCTTTAGTTCTTTAATTCTTTAGTTCTTTAGTTCTCTAGTTTTTTAGTTCTTTAGTTCTTTAGTTCTTTAGTTCTTTAGTTCTTTAATTCTTTTGTTTTTGTTGTTGTTTAGTTCTTTATTTTTTTAGTTCTTTAGTTCTTTAGTTCTTTAGTTCTTTAGTTCTTTAGTTCTTTAGTTCTTTTGTTCTTTTTCTTTAATTCTTTTGTTTTTGTTGTTGTTTAGTTCTTTATTTTTTTAGTTCTTTAGTTCTTTAGTTCTTTAGTTCTTTAGTTCTTTAGTTCTTTAGTTCTTTTGTTCTTTTGTTCTTTAGTTTTTTAATTCTTTAGTTCTTTAGTTCTTTAGTTCTTTTGTTCTTTTGTTCTTTAGTTCTTTAGTTCTTTAGTTCTCTAGATCTTTAGTTCTTGAAGATTATTTGTTTATAAACATAATTATCTTCAACATAGAATAAGAAGTAAACAATAAAGTCTTCTGGTTCCAATCCAATCCAACCCAATCTGAATAAAAAGATTTTTTTTCCTCATCTTGTTTATGCGTTGTTTTTATTACTTTATAATGCAAGGCTTTCAGACACTGAAAACTAAGATTTTCACAAGTAACATTTTTGAGACAAACTGTTTAGAAAACCACACAGTTCTGCAATTTTCTGAGATAAGCACGATTAACCCCCTCTGTCCCGGGGCGGATACAGGGGGGGGGCGGCAGGACCTTTGCACCCCCCTGAGATTTCAGAATAGTTTTTCACTAGCACTTAAGGGAAAGAAAACCTTTAAACCTTAAAAAAAAAATTTTTCAAGCGGCGCGTCTCTTGCTTCCTAAATCTTATTTTGTTTGTTCCGTAATAAATCTAGCACCCCCCGCACTTAAATCCTGTATCCGCCCCTGCCTCTGTCTAATGAATGAGAGCTCCCAGCATTACCCAGATATATGCACAATTCCTTTAATTTTCAGGAATGTGCATCAGGGACAGTGTGCACATGTGACACATCTCTGTGTAACAGTGTAAATGTGTCCTCAACCCTCCCAACAGAATCCACACCAACAACTGCTAACAACACGTTCCGCTGCTGGTTCGGGGAGAAACATCCTCATACAGGGGAGGAGAATTGGAAGGTCAACAATTTCACGAATATTTAGAATATTGAAGGGGAAAAATTATAAATTTTGGCTGATATTTCCTCATTTTGAAGTTTTTATCCAAATTTGAATTATATAATTTCCACAGTTTAATAAAAACCCCACCAAATACTTTACCAATATAAGGATGAATGGTTTATGTAGTAAAGGAAAGGAAAACCGAGAACCCTCCCTTTAATAATATAATATTTGACAAGTTAAAGATGTAATATAGAAAGTTTGAACTAATAAATTGAATTGAACTCAGATCGAGGAGTGCGAGGAGAAAGAAACCTACTGTTATCAAATGGTACATGGAGAAGGAGAAACCAGAACGGAATCTAGACAATGCTGGAATCTTGCATATGAGGTAGTAAAACATAACATTTTGAGCACATCTCTTGGTAAAAATCTTTGGCACATTTTGAAATTATAGCAATAATAATGTAGGATATTTTTCTGCTTTCAATGGCGGATTTTCACCATTTAAGAAAAATCAAAAAAGTTTTGATGCAAAGTTCTTAGATTCCTGGTGTAAATCAACTCTAACATGGTCCCGGAGGACTGAGCTTGCTGGCAGACGATTTTTTTAACAGCCACCGCTGCCAGCCTCACATGCTGTCAGCAATAGTTTTAATCAGAGTTTACACCTGACAATGTCCATGAAGTTTTGTGATGTCTGGCCTATAATTGAGAGTAATTGGGTCATAATAAAAAGAAGGATATATATGTCAAAATATCTGTCAACTGGCTCACAGTGAGCTGGGTGGAAAAGGAATTGTATCGTATATTTATTCACCACGTAGTCCTGACATCCTAGAGACATCGTAATTTCATTATGATCAGGGAATAATCAAGGCTCTGAGAGAAAAAAGTTTGACTTGTTTTATTACTATTTCAACACCTTTCATCATCCCTTCCCTTTTACAGTTACACTTTCAGGGAAACCTAAACATTAACTCGATTAACTGAAACCTAAACATTAACTCGATTAACTGAAACATAAACATTATCTCTATTAACTGAAACCTAAACCTTATCTCGATTAACTGAAACCTGAACATTATCTCGATTAACTGAAACCTAAACATTATCTCTATTAACTGAAACCTAAACATTATCTCTATTAACTAAAACCTAAACATTATCTCTATTAACTGAAACCTAAACATTATCTCTATTAACTGAAACCTAAACATTATCTC